TTCAACCATTCATGAAGCTGGATTTTTTTTTTATATACATGACCTTGTTGGCTGCCAGGTTGATCCAGCCAGGTAAAGTCCTGGGCAGTAAAGGTGGCTGGTATGATCACTCCTTGAGGGCCAATTGGCCTATAAAAATATGAGTCGAGCCTCATATGCCTGATGCATCACTGGAATGTAAAGGGACTCTCACTGACTTACTAGACTAATGGAACAAATTAGAAATCAGAGCTTGCAGACTGCAGAAACATGAATCATTCTGTCAGCTTGGCCCTAAAGAACATATAACAATTTTCAGACATCTCACAGGTCATATGCTGAAATATCACTTATTCAATAACCAAGGAATTACAACTGATAAATGTAACTGCTGAACTGGTAAAATGGTGGCAACAGTTTTGCTGCAAGTAGTTTTTAAAAAATATGCAGAAATGAAAATTACTTTGGCCCAGACTCGTGGTATCTGAGGACATTTGTATGGAGATTTGACAACCTTTAGTTGACCTTTGTTTTCCAAATATATTTACATAAAGTCTGCAGTGGTACAATTAAGAAGAAGAAAAAAAGCAAATATTTTCTTTTAAAAAGTACATCATAGTCATCAAGTGCCTTGCCAGCTGGTATAGGTGATCACACTTCTCTACAACTTGCCACCTCCACTACTATGTAACAGGTTGCGTGCTGACATCTTTCCATCTTATGAATAAAGACTAAGGAGTTGTCTTTCATTATTTTCCTTTTTCTCTCTTTCTATAAATCTTTCAAAATTTCTTTTAAAAAAAGTGGCTCTACTGGCAAATCCGGACGAAGAATAAACAGCCTTGGACGACTTAGTCAGAGTTCTCTCCCGTCGCCGCACTCCAAACAGTGATCGGAAAAGCCACAACGAAACAAAGAAGACAGTCACGTCGACATTAGGGCTGCCAATGCTTGGTTGTGTCCCCCAGATCTGGGTTTTTTTTCGACGCTGCAGGACAATTCTGGGTGTTTTTCTTTTTTGGGTGTGTTTTGTTTGTTCGTGTTTGCCGATTTGTATGCTTTAATGATCGATAAATTTGCGTGGTTAGGGGGGTTAGGGTTAGGGTTAGGGAGTAGGATTAGGGTTAGCGGTAGGGTTAGGATTAGCGTTAGATTTGACAATCTGACGCCGGAGTTCCCTATAATCGCGCACAGTCCCATACACATACACAAACAATCGAGGGCCTCTGGATGCTGGTCACACGCACAATTCGCCAACGATTGGGGGCACCAGCCGCACGCTATTGGCGTCATATTTGGCAGAGTTTCAGTGGCGCCACTCCCACAAACATCATATTGTCGGCCAGTATTTCGAAATCCTACGTCAAAATTTTCACATCTAACCCTAACCCTACCCCTACCCCTAACCATACCCCTAACCCTACCCCTAACCCTACCCCTAACCCTAACTCTAATCCAACAACCGCATGATGATGACTACACAACCATTCACAGTGCCTCACGCAACCGTACGCAACTGTGCACGCAACCATATGATGATGCCACGATGTCTCACGCAACCGTACGCAGCCCTATACGCAACCGCAGGATGATATGTAAGTGTGTCGTTTGTTTCGTTTGTTTTCCGATTACTGTTCGGAGTGCGGCGACGGGAGATAACTCTGACTAAGTCGTCCAAGTCTGTTTATTCTTCGTCCGGATTTGCCAGTAGAGCCAAAAAAGTATATTAAAATATAAAATATGTCATTGGTATGGGTGACTTTACTGAAAAGTCACTTTCTTTTAGGGTTCTGTAGTTAGGTATGAAACATTTTACTTGTATATGCTTGTGTTGTTTTATTTCAGCATGTAGCAATGTGACTTTTGGCAAAGACTGTCGCCTGAATTGTTCATGTTATGCTAGTGGTACAGAATCCTGTGACGTCACCTCTGGTGGATGTATATGCTCTGAAGGATGGACTTCCTCAAACTGCTCCAAGGACATTGATGAATGCACCGAGCTTCAGGGAAGTGTCTGCCAGAATCCCAATGAACAGTGTGTTAACAGACCTGGAGGATATGACTGCCAAGGTAAATCTTTTTACAAGCCACTTTCCTGGTGGATTCTGTAATGGCAGCTGTCTCTGTCTCTCCTCTCTCTCTCTCTGTCTGTAAACTTTTCGCATCTCTGTTTTCACTTTGTATCATCAGGCCACAAAGATGTTATTGACTGTTTGATCAGATTTGTCCACTTCAAAGGATCAGATATACAAGACTGATATTTTTGTATTTGTGGCCCATCCAGTCTGCAAGATTTTGAGTCCAAGTCTTTCTTGGCCTGTCTCATCTCCTCTAATATCTGAACTGTAAAGGAAAATACAAGTACTTGCTACTCATCCTTTTGACTAAGATCATCCTTTTGGCTAAGATCATCCTTTTGGCTAAGATCATCCTTTTGGCTAAGATCATCCTTTTGACTAAGATCATCCTTTTGACTAAGATCATCCTTTTGGCTAAGATCATCCTTTTGGCTAAGATCATCTTTTTGGCTAAGATCATCCTTTTGACTAAGATCATCCTTTTGGCTAAGATCATCCTTTTGGCTGAGATCATCCTTTTGACTAAGATCATCCTTTTGACTAAGATCATCTTTTTGGCTAAGATCATCCTTTTGACTAAGATCATCCTTTTGACTAAGATCATCTTTTTGGCTAAGATCATCCTTTTGGCTAAGATCATCCTTTTGGCTAAGATCATTTTTTTGGCTAAGATCATCTTTTTGGCTAAAATCATCCTCACCCATGTTGTGCAACAGGTTGCTCTGTAATAGTAGGGTGCTCTAAAATCATCATCATCATGTGCCCTGTCAACTAGCACAGGCGCTCATGTGTCTCCACAGATCACATTCTCTGGTTGCCTGGAACAGCTCTCATGATGAAATTCCTCCATGCCATCATTTCAGCCAACCTAGCGTCATCTCTCTTGGTCTGCCTCTATCCCTTTTTCTACTGATCTTTCCAGTTGTCACGATGTTCTCCAATGTCTCTCTTCTCACTATGTGGCAAAGAACAGTGTTTGTCTCTTTCTTATTGTTGTATGTAGAGATCTACTTTTATTACTTCTTTCAAGCAATCCTTGTTAGTTACTCTGGCCATTCAAGGTATTCGTAACATTTGTCTCAGAAACCACATCTCTGTTGCTTCCAAATTCTTCCTAATTTGTTCACTGACATTCCAAGATTCACTGCCATATAACAGAATGGGTTCTATGTAACATTTTAGCACCCTCTTTTTGACATTAAATGAGAGCGATTTAATTTATAAGAAATTTTTAATTTTCTGAAATGCAGCTTTTTGACCTATTCTACTTTTAATCTCTGTCACACATTTTCCATCTGATGATATAATTGTTTCCGGATATTTTAATTTATTGCCTTGGTTAAGTCTTTTTCGTGGAGTTATCTTCTTCTTTGATATAACCATTACTTCCATTTTCTTAATATTCAATAAAAGTCCTTTATTAGCACTCTTCATCCCCACAATATCCAGCAGTTGTTGTAAATCAGGCTCTAAAATAGAGAGTTAAATCTGGTGTCTGTGATTTCCTCAGTTTCACATCCTCTGAATATTGTACTCAAATGATGATGTCTTTGAAAATTAAATGTTTGATCCACTGACATTAGTGGACACTTTTGGTGTGCCCTTTTCTTTTAGCTAGAGTGCCCCAGAGCTTACAAATAAACATCCTAACCTACACAGTTTATGGCAACAGCACTAGTCATGAGGTCCTAAATCCTCAGTTTCAAAGCCTAACTGCCCCCACCCTCCAGCCTTTACATCCCACTTCTTCTTTTCTTCTTCTTTTGTTCTAATTTTTATAGTGTAAAATGTTGCAGAGAGGAGTTATGTGTGGTTTACTGTTTTTTGCTAATTTCATACCTTTTGTTAATCTCATAACTGCAGATATACACAAATGTAGTGCTTGTGTTGAGTGAAATCCTGACACTGCACACCTATGTGAGAAACTGGACTAATATCTTAGCTATGCTGATCACAAACAAAGTGCTGGATAACCAAGAAAACAGCAAAAGTGGCTCATATAATAAAATTACAGTAGCTGTACTTGTATCAACATGAGTAGGAAAAGGGTAGTTAAATATCACAAAGAATTCAGTGAGAGAAAATCATGATACACAGGAAACCCCTCAGACATTCTCCTCTTTTAGTATCAATTTATAACAAAAGCCCCCATCAAGTAATTTACAAATAAGTGAGCTGAGGTAAACTAGTGTGCACAATGACACGTTAACCTAAGTACACAATTTACCCAACTATATTCATCAATGACAAACTGCATTTCTTGTGGCTATTGTTGGCTTTGGCGCCTCTAGCAACTGAAATATGTATTAACTGCTTGAGGATATTTCTGGATTGTTCCAAGACTAATTGTTTGTTCACCAGTTTTCCAAATGTGACAGTGGGGGACATTTCATTTGATTTGCACTGGCATAGGAATGGAACAAGTATGGGGAAAACCCGATTGCTGTGATACTGAAACCTCAACTAAGTGGTCTGTCTACATCTTTAATGTCAGTTAAATATGTTGGAAATTATGTTGGTAATAGAATACACCTTTGGAGGACACCTTGCTCCTATATCGTAGTCTTTCTGGTTCACCTTTGTACATGTGTTGTGACATTTGTGTTTCCAAGTTAGCGATGATCCATCAGTACATTTACTTATGCAGTATTTCATCAGTGCTTTTGCAGCATGTTTTCCCATATGCAAGGTACTACTGTGTGAGTTTAATTGTGATGTGTTTTCTGTTGGGTACTCGCAGGGTTTTTTCCTGAGCAATCTTTTGTGTGATATTATGTTATTGTGTATTTTACTGAGATGGCACTCTCTATATCTCTCTGTCTCGCTCTCCATCTCTCCATCTTGCTCTCTCTGCTGTCTTCCTTTAACTTTTCCCTCCAGTTAGTTAGTGCAGTATAGTTCATAATTTGTCATTACCCACCAGTGTTATGATTCTACTTGCAGGCTGCAGATCTACCATTACAAATTCATCTGGAGTAATACAGTCACATAGATATCCAGGGAATTTTCCTGAAAATACTACCTGCTCTTGGACCATTATAGCAACAGGGGCTGGAAAAACAATTGCATTCAGGTAAATTGTATAGCCTCTTAGTAAATCATATAGATAAAAACAGAGATAAGGCATCTTTATTAAAAACTAGCTGTACCTGGCCACGCATTGCTGTGGCATAGTTTGGCTAAATGGAAAAGAAAGAAATTAGAAATCGCACATGCCTTATATGGATAATGTCGCAATCATTGTCTCCCTCATCAAAGGTTTTATGAAAAGAAAGAAAATAAAAATCACACGTATCTAATATGGTTAATGTCGCAATCATTGCCTGCGCAGATATAGAGATTGCCGACTCCAGAAAAGGCAACAGATAATTGTGTAATTATAGTGGTCATTTAAATTGTATTATTAGGACTTTAAAAAAATGGTTGTTTGGTTATCACATGCTAAAACTGTATTTTTTTTTAAGAGACGAAATTAAAGCTTACAACTGTACTTGTAAATAACCAAGTAAGTCATAAAAAATAAATGAGAATAGGGGAGGTTGCGTTGGTAAAATATAAACAAATTGGGAAATGAAAACTTTAAAGTCATATTGTTAAGCTCTCAAGTTAACAGTTTCTGTCATCACCCCTCCCCTCCTCTCTCCTCCCCCATCAGCCAACTGCTGCTCTCTCCCTCTCCGAAGGATTTGAAAGTCATCACCTAATAATATTTTTTGTAACTGACCTTGACATTCCTGTCCATCCGGACTAAAATGGGGGAAAGGGGGGGGGGGGGGGGGAGGAATTGTAAAAAGAAGTAAATGCCGCCAGTGTAATATTTACCACACCAACCTTCAAGTACCAGAACAACTACTACCACCACCACAATAACTTAAATAATGTTACTACTTTCTGTTTTACTATCGGAGTAGACAGGGGGTCGTGAGCCAGAGGATTTTGCGCCGCATGGCTACTGCTGTTGCCATAGACTGGTCAGGTTAGGATATGTAATTCTCTGCCCCCCCTTTCCTGACAGAAAAATGGCATCACCTTACTGGTGGTCAGAACCAGGTCTCCAGCATGACAGCCCTACGGTATAACCGCCAAACCACAACTACTACTACTGCTGCTACTTTGAGTGGGTAAGGCAGTTACTGTGACTTAAATCTATCTCAGTTAACAGTTTATGTTACCCCATCCCTCCCCCACCCCCGCGCCCATTACTCCACCCCGCCCAACCCCCCCCCCCCCTCCTTTCCTTCCAATTCGCTGACCACTCTTTCCCTAACGGAAGTAGTTGGGGAAAAAAACCAAGTGAAAAGCAACGAAAAATGCACCATAAATACAAACTGAAAGCTATGGTAAACAACACAGCTTAATTCCAATGCAATGTCAGATTGAAAATAAACGAAAATCTTTGAAAATTCAACGTAACCTTGCAATCCGAAACATTGAAATGAAATTGTAGTATGCGAAATGGGAAAATTTTATGATCCACTGGTTCACCCACATACCTGCAGTCTTTAAAAAATGTATGGTCATGTGATCACTATGTCTTGCACAATAAATAGGGAAATAGAAACAAGATGCCAACGAGCCACTTATATACCAACTGAAACCGTTATTAAGACATCCAAACAGAAATATGATCGCCAAGAAACAGATTATAAACAGTATATTCATACCAACACTGTGCAACCAGTGCCAGATTTAGACATTATCAAAGGCTAACCGATGAAAAATTAAAATCGGTGAAATAAAATGCCTGAGAAAAGCAGCCAACTTAACCATCTGAGAGAAAGTTAGAAATGATTTCATCAAACTATAGGAACAACACCATGCAGCAAATTCATTGAAAAACAGAAGATCAAATAGTTTATCATTTAGTAAGAATGCCACCAGAACAACTACCAATGCAGGTGCTACACATAAAAAAGATCTAAAGTGAAAGCAAGAGGCAGCCATAGGAGAAGATGGATTGATGACAATAAAGATTCTACATCAACACGGAATGACAACAACCATTGCTGGCCATTAAGCAATGGACTGCAAACTGTTCCTTCCCACAATGCTTAACAGCAGAAGTGGAAATTATTGATGATTTCTTTGCATTGGAACCCACAGAGGCATAGAAATAGAGGAAGACCAAAAAACATATGGAAAAATAAACTTTTAACTAAGTTAAAACCACGGAGAGAGCTGCATTAGATAACGAAGGACTGAACGACTTAGCATGAGCTGGGTAAGGCCTATACTCCACCACTGGGGGTTGGAATGCAGAAGAAATAGAAATCACATCATTGAAAAGTAGAGGAATGCCAGTTTGTAAGTACTTTTTGCAGGCAATTTTCATAATCATATGTCTTAATAAGTTTATAAAGCTCCTAATACTCAGATTAATCATTTTTTTTTTGCTAAAACACATTCAGATTGTTAACACATTAATGAATATAATATGCTTATTGGATAAAATACAGCTGCAGTATGAAAGACAGATGTTTGAAAGGGCCCAATGTAAGATCGACTTGCATGCCCAATTTGTGACGTTTTGAAAATGAAGTTTGTTCTTTTGTTTGTTCCTTCGTTCGTTCAGATTTTTGTTTGCATCAAAGTGTTGTGCAGTTCATGCAAAATGTTTTGATTCACAAAATTTTATTTTTCAGAATGTTAGATTTAGCTTCCCCCTACAGTTGGCATAATTATATCATAATATGTAACTTTGACACCCTTGAGGTGTATGATGGCAACAGCACCAATGCTCCTTTGCTCGGCCGTTACTGTGGCTATCTCAACAACCCAGGCATCATTCAGTCTTCAGGAAACACCCTGTATCTCACTTACCAAGCTGTTGCTCAACAGTATACCAGGCGATTCTCAGCATCATATTCAACAAATGGTAATAAATGTTGTCTTGTCTGTTAAATTTTTGCCCTGCTTTTATCCAATAATAAAATATGGCCCTCAGTCAACTCATGTCAAAGCATCCTTTTTTTTTGGCTTGTTTTCAGTCTTCAATTAGTACAAACATTTACTAATTTCAGTTCCTTGTGGGGTCTCTGTTTGAAACCTCCTAGCTTCAATCCCAGTGGACATGACATCCTCAGCACCCTTGAGTCATTTAACTTTCAGCAACAATTGTCACCATCAATAAATTACTGAAATGTTATTGTAATGTAACAATACCTTTGAATCTCTGAACTTTCAGTGACAATATTTTGAAAGGAATCAAGATAAATTTAATGGTGTCAGAAAAAAAAACATTAGCCCATCAATTTCCCTTTTCCTACATTTTCATTTTTCATCAGCAAAAACTTCCTAGTGAAAAGTTAGAGCATCTTCTTCTGTAAACCAATAAATGTGCCATTTGCATTTGAAACTTAAAAAACAAAAAAATGTGTATTACTGCAGCATTGTTTTTTTCAGAGATGACTGCCATCTGATAAAACTGCAACATGTAGGGTAGACTGTTCCAGAAAGTTTCCTAACATTGTCTTGTGTACATATTAAAAGTTAGTTGCATGTTCTCTTGACGGTCATAAACTTATTCCAGCATTTCCTGGCATGTTTGGTTTTACTAGGCAATATTTTCCCCCTCTAGATTGTCACTTTGTCAGATGTGTTTGAAAGTACACTGCCAATGTCACAAGGCAGGGAATATGAGAAGAAAATTGCCACTACTTCATGAAAAGTGGGATGTTCAAAACCTTGTGACAATCAGCACAAAGTGATTTGCTGTCTACTCAGTTGTTGGTAATATTGCCTTCAGCTGACTTCAAACCCCAGAACTGGAGATTTGGAAACAATGTTCATTGTCTTGGATATCTAGCTAACATTTCCTTTTTTTATTATTAAACCTGGAGTACAGTTACAAGAATTAATGCTTTATTACAAATTTGAAAACAGAATCTGAGGATAGATCTTTGGACCCTTATAATTCACTGAAAGTGGAAAAAGACCAGAAGAAACAGAAGAAATGTGGAGTCTTGGTCAGTTTTTACAAATGTCCAGATGGTTGAATCACTAGACCCATGAGCAGACAGGCAGGTGTGAAGTCTTCCCCATTGTTCATGATGCAACATCACTTTTTCAAAAAATGTCTAGCTACTAAATGATTTGGAAAAAAAAAGTTTATTTCTGTGTTATGGGAAGTATTCTTAAATAAAGAGTAAAGAATTAACTGATTTCCTTCTCTTAACTATATAAAAATGGTTTTAGTCACCTTTCCACAAAGAATAATGTGACACAGTTATTAAATTGTTTTGATGTCACTTTGATGTAACTATTTTTTTCCCACCCCAAGTAACAGATTACAATTTTTTTCAGGGTAAATTTAATTAGACCCACCATGTCGACATTCAAACTGTGCAGTCTGCTATACAGATATACTAAGTGTTGTCTAAGAACATCATGTCAAACAAAAGCCCGTAAGATAGTGGCCAGAGGATAAACTACCATTAATCGCTGCCTTATGAGGGCTAACAGACCAAAATGGTGAAGCATATAGAGAGAAGGACAGATGACAGAGTGGTTAAAAATTGTGTTTACAAGGGAGTTGAATGACAGATTGGTTAAAAATTGTGTATACAAGGGAGTTGAATGACAGAGTGGTTAAAAATTGTGTATACAAGGGAGTTGAATGACTGCAGATCATGGGGAAGTAAGTCTAAGAAGACAGTGGAGAGAGAAAATCAAGCAGGCTTACAAATACTTAGTCACCAACTGGAAAAAGAGAGCTTATAACAAAGATGGATGAAAGCAGGTAATATCTGTGGCACTGAATATCAAGAGCTAAGAATTCTGAAAAGCAGGGATTTTCTAAAGTGCATACATCACATGCAGCATTATTTCAGCAAAGGTCTTAACCATCTTACAAAAATAATGTCCATGAGTGTATTAATCATTCATGCAAAGGTAGACAATTCCTGAAACTGCACATACAAATATTTTAGTGTTTTCTCCTCTGAATCAGATTATCAAGTTTACAGATATAATTTGACCTTTCCGTCTGGTCCAATAAGCAGTCCCGGGTACCCTGGGAGCTCTTCCCAAAATACATATGTTACCTGGACGGTAACAGTTGCTCCTGGATATGTTGTGACACTCAAGTAAGTGGTTACTAGAAATTAAAAAGGAAAGAAAGAAGTAACTGTTCTACTTGGTGTTCGTGCTGTGTGTTATTTGTTCACAGCCATCGGACTCATGTACTGTCTGTCATTTCTGATGTAGATGTTCTTTCATACAATGATTCTAAACTGACCACAATCTTTTCTCTCTCTCTCTTTGCCTCTCTTCTCTACCAACTTTCCCACTGTCACGATTCACTCTAGAGTTTCACCTTCCCATAGAACAGGGCTATTCAAAAATATTTACCAAGGGGCCAACATTTTGAAAGTGAAGATTGATAGGCCAGAGACCTGAACTGAAGGATGAAAAGATCATTATTACAATAGAACTGGCAGTCATCTACGGGCCACTTGCCAGGCTTCGGGGGTTGGTATTTGTCGGCTGATAGTTGAATACCATGCCACAGAGGGTAGATTATCTGCTTCTAAAGCAGGTGATGAACAATTAAAAAACAAGCTAAACAATGTTTTGAGGACTCAAAGGTTTGGTTTTGCGGAAGAATCCATATAATTCTTTGGACAGCCAAAAAAGAGCAACCCAGATGTTTTGAAAGAGATGAGGGCTCGAAGATAATTTATCACAAATAAACAGTCATCATGTTTTGGCCATGTTATGAGATGAAGGAAACGAACATGTTGTGACTGCTGGAAAGATCTTGGAAAGGGAGACAATGATGCGAGACAATTCTAAACAGCTTTTTGTCATGGCATTGAGGGATGTCAGCATTTGAACTGATACAAGCTGTCGAAGATTTCATGTTGTGTAGAGGCATGATAGCTTCCACCAGTAAGAAAGGAACTTGATGATGATGATGATGATGATGATACAGATAATAGTTTTCTGCATGAAAACAGGGGAATGAAAATCATATCTATTTAAATTGTAAAAGTCACTGTTCTCAATAAAAGTTGTGGGATCTATTTCTAGCTGTCCCTTGATTCATGAGAATATGGTTTATTTACTGCTGGAGCTATAGTTTGTGCTTTGTGTAGTGCTCTCTATGATGACCAGCTGTTTTGTAGAGAGAGAGACCAAGTCGTGTGGAATGTAGCCAGGTGTAATGAAATCTATCATCTACCTTTCAAATCACATTAAATCTGACCGTATCACACCAGTTCACATGACAGCAACTGAGTTGATTGGTTGACTTCACATGTGCCAGTTAAAACACTCACAATACATAGGGAAAATTTTTTAAGAATAAAATTCTTTTAATAGATAAGTGAGATGTTTTAATGGCTATAGATAAATGAGTTTTTTTATGGCTATAAATAAGTGAGATGTTTCAATGGCTACCTCTGATAAACTGCTTGTTGAAGATGTAGTAACACATGCAATACACGTTTAAGAATGCTTGAGTTTGAATAAGGAGGGGCATGCAATGAAACAATTCTAAAGTTTTTGCAGCCAGTGTGTTAATGAAACTATTAGCAACTGTAATTTTTGACATTTATTGATAAAGATCAAGCACATTAGGGTTTTCCAAGAATACAGTGTTGACTTTTATAAATTAAAGCAAACTGTTGCACTACAATCAGCCTACCATAGGGCATGATTTCCTAGAAACAATCCTGTTTCAGTTCAAGACATTATGAAAACTTGTATCAATTGTTTAAAACACTGCTTGAGAACTTAGAGCCTCGTGTACAATGTCTCTACATCCAGCATTAGAATAGAGGTGGAGGCAGTAATGGCAACTTTCTGATGGCTTGAGTTGAATTGAGTTCATTTGAGTCCAAAATCGACATCACAGCACTCCGAGCCTTACCATGTTTGCTCTGTTCTCATCTTCAGCAGCCAGCGCAGAGTTCCAATACTGATGGTACCGGTCACAATCTGGTTATATGTCGATCTTGCCTTTCCTCTGAGTGTAGTGAGCTCACCAGACCCTCTGGTTACACCCAGATGCCTCATTCTCTCCAGGCCATAATAATCTTGATTCTCTACTGATTCCGTTGCTTGTTCCTGGCTTGAGAACAGCACAGGCTGACATGTTGTAATTGTAACAGATTCAGACCATATTTAGGAAAATTAAAACTGGTGCACTACACACAGAGTGGCTTGCCTCACTTGATAAGACTCAGACCAGAAGCATATCCTGAATTATCTGTCCAAGAAAGTCAGGTGTGTGAGGACATGAGCAAGCTGATGGGTTAGCTGCTGCCACTCCTCTAGGCAGTATGCTACTGTATGATAAAGTTAATGTGGTGAAGGCTCTATGGGATCAGACGGATAGTGCACAAGAACAGGTAGGGAATCTATACACTATAAGACCAATTCAAGACAGGGGTATGCTGAGGTTCTGAAGGATAGTCAATACTGAAGGGAAACACCACCAGATTTTTAGTCAGGTTGTAACTGGTAGTCTATTTTGTTTACTGAAGAAGCGGGTGGCTCAATTGCAGTGACGTCAATTCTTGATTCATTCATTCATTCATTTATCAGTTTTATCATTTTGGTAAAATTAACAATAAAATATTGTTTCTTAAAATGTATATGCAGTTTTTCAGACTACGGCCTTGGTGAATGTGAGAAGGATTATATTGAAGTTTATGATGGTGAGAATGCTGGAGCAAATTTAATCAAAAGGTTCTGTGGGAATAATTTTCCAGTGATGACTTCATCGACAAACAATGCAATGCACATTATCTACAGTTCTCTAGGAAACACAACTGAAAAAGGTTTTGTTGCAAATTATTTTGAAGACGGTAAGTAGAATCACAACTATTCGAATAATACAGATTTACATAATATGTCAAATGTGTTTGTATTTTTATAGAGCTTTTAGTGCTCCACTCCTCAGTAATGAGATATGTATGGCAGTCTGTATTTTCAGAAGACACAATTAAAGATGTGTAAATGCTGGATATAATTGGGAGAGGAGTGGAGTGGGTAAAAGTTTCAGAGCAAAAAAAAATCAGACTTGAGTAGGGTTCTAATTTTACTTGGCTTGGAATGCAGGCATTGGCCATCGGTTACTGCAGAATCAAAAATTCAGCAACTGATTCATGATAATTCCCACCCAGGTGATGTGATTATCTATACAGGTGGCTCTGTGTATAGAAGAAGTGCATCAGGGGTTCATTGAGAAAGTGCATGGATGACACCTAACACAACAAAGTCTAGCGTATGATGCTACATCTTGTTTGAGAGTGGAGGTAGAGGCAGTCAGCAGCTTTCCACTGGCTTGACAACCAGCAGCACACACATGTCATGATTCTATCCCACTATCAAAGCATTTTTACTCTTTGAGTCCCAAGGAACGCATCATACGTTCATAGGTTCCTACCTAGAAGCCCAATGAACGCACGATGCGCCGATTTTATTACTTTCTTTACTACCCCCTGGGCCTGTGATGCTAAACCCCCTGGGACTCAAAGAGTTAGGAAAGATAGAGACAGGCATAGTTTTAGAGGTCCTGGGTATTCAGCATTCTTTTGATATTTTCTCTGGCATATGCAGGAGTGGTGGGAAAGATGAAGCATACGGACTGGTTGGTTCTGCACCAATGGGTGGTGAATTTGTGCATGAAAAGCTACATGTGGTCAAGGCCCTTTGTGAGTAAGTGAACAATGTAGAGACACAAATACGTCATTATGATCTGGAGTGAATGCTACAGCTGGGAGTGACCAAGGAATCTGGTCCACGAAAGGCAAGACAGACATATAGTCAACTAGCTACTGATGCCATCAGAGTTGGAACGTCTCACTGGCTGCTGATGATGAGGACTGAGCATTTATGGGAATGTCCTAAGTTCTATGATGTCACTTCTTACCTCAACACTCAACACACTCCATATTTTCAAGAGTGTGATAACGAGTATTTGAAGTCAGTATTTTCTAAATATGATATCAGCATTTATATCAATATTTTCAAGGATTTGACACCAAAGTTTGTGGTCAAAATGTCTATAGTTGTTATGCCAGTATTTTTTTCAAAGACAGTACTAGATTTAAATCAATTTTAAAGGCATATCAGCATTAAATCAATATTTTCAAAAATATGTCAGCATTTAAATCACTATTTTTGAGGATGAGACCATAATTTTAATCTACTCACATATTTTAAGATATGATACATTAGTTTAAATAATGTGTAAATTATATGAAACCAGAATAAAGGTGCCAGTATATCCAAAATTTTATATCATTATTTCATGACAATACTTTTTATGTGAGACCTGTATTTGGTGTTGATGTTTTCAAGAATAGGAGATCTGTATTTAGAGTAAATATTTTTAGAATAATTATATTCTGCATTGTTTTATAATGCTGAGTAATGAACTTGCCATTAGAAGAATAGAGAATGAATGCCACAGATAAGAGAATTTATTAAATTATTAGAATATCAGTATTTCAATCATTCACATACCATCTTAACAATGATGGCCTACTGCAATAGATATCTAGCACTATGACTGTCATGTTGGTTGTAGCACTAGTCTATCATGTTGGTTGTAACACTATATCTGTTGTGCTGGTTGTAGCACCATGTCTGTCATGTTGGTTAAGGCACCATGTCTGTCATGTGTGAGCAACAGTGTTAGAACCACACATACTAATGGTTGAAATAGAAAAAGTCATTAAGCAGTCTCCCAAATATAAAGCACCAGGAGCTGATAGATTACCAACAGAAATAATTCAAACAGCAGGTGAAAGCAGCATTAGATGGCTTCACAAAATATTTAATGCAGCATGTGTACAACAAACTGCCCCTAGTTATACCAGTGTGGAAGAACAAAGGAAGCAAACGAGAATGTGGTCAATACTGAGGAATCTCTCTTTTAAGCCATGTTGGCAAAATGTATGCCAAGATAATAGAAACAAGACTGAGACCAGTGATAGAACCACAGCTGGCAGAAGAACAGATGGGATTTAGGAGAAATAGAAGCTGCACAGATGCAATCTTCACACTTAAACAGTTAATAGAAAAGAACATTGAATACAATAAGAACTTATTTGTGGCCTTCGTAGACCAGGAGAAGGCATTTGACAGAGTCGACAGACAATTGTTATGGAAAGTAATGGCAAGATATGGAGTAAGCGAACACCACATCGAAGTGTGCAAAAGTTTAAACAGGGATTGTAGAAGTGCAGTTAGAATAAATCAGGGAACATCTCATCCATTCACAGTAACATCTGGAGTAAGACAGGGGTGTGTCTTATCACCACTGCTGTTTATCACCTACATCGACAGTAAATGCAAGAATGCCAAGCCCATGAATGAAAATGTTAGTAAGATCAACGAATTACTCTTTGCAGATGACCAGGCCTTGATAGCAGATACAGCCATGAAATTGCAACAACATCTAACATCCATGAATGAAGAATGTAAAACAAATAATATGAGAATCAACACTGAAAAGACAGAAGTAATGTCAATAGGAAAAAAGAAGACAGATCTAAACATAGCAATAGAGAACAAAGGCATTAAACAGGCATCTGAGTTTAAATATCTGGGAACTACATTGACCGAAGATGGGAAATTAGATAAAGAAATTAACATTAGATGCAGTAAAGCAAACCAAGCATTGGGACAGCTAGCCCCCCTCTTACAGCATAAGACAATCCCAATCAGCACAAAGAGACATCTTATTCAAAGCATTTTTATTCCAACTCTGTGCTACCAGTGCCAGACATGGTCACTCACAACAAACCATAAAAGAAAATTAGTAACCACGGAAATGAGATGTCTGAGAAGGGCTGTAGGAGTGACCATAAGAGATAAGATCAGAAATGAGATCATAAGAGAACAAGTCGGCACAGAACCAATTCTGGATTACATACAAAGACAACAAGTGAAATGGTTTGCCCACTTAGAGAGAATGCCTTGTGACACCATACCATACAAAGCAAACATGGAAAGAGAAGAAGGTCGTAGAGCAAGAGGTAGACCAAGAACAAGATGGAAGGATAACATCAGAGAAGCTCTACAACAGCACGGTGTGCCTATGGTCGAGGCGGCCAGAAGAGCCAGAAACAGAACCTTATATCTCCCTCGACACCCACAGTGGTAAAAGAGGAAGTGAAGAAGAAGAAGAAGTCTGTCATGTTGGTTGTAGCACTATGTCTGTCATGTTGGTTGTAGCACCATGTCTGTTATGTTGGTTGTAGCACCATGTCTGTCATGTTGGTTGTAGCACTATGTCTGTCATGTTAGTTGTAGCACTATGTCTGTCATGTTGGTTGTAGCACTATGTCTGTTATGTTGGTTGTAGCACTGTGTCTGTAATGTTAGATGTAGCACCATGTCTGTTATGTTGGTTGTAGTACCATGTCTGTCATGTTGGTTGTAGCACTATGTCTGTCATGTTGGTTGCAGCACTGTGTCTGTCATGTTGGTTGTAGCACCATGTCTGTCATGTTGGTTGTAGCACCATGTCTATCATGTTGGTTGTACACTCTTTGAGATTACTCTTCGACCATTTGTTAATGGTGTCCTCTCATTTTATCGCTGTCTACTTTTTGTTGGCTTATCCTTATCTTGTCCCACCAGTTTGGCAACAACTCATGTTTTCCTTCTGTCTCCTCATAACCTCTGTGTGTCCCCTTCCCTCACCCAGTGAAATATTAAGTATATTAATGTCTCTAAAGACTAAATTGAACTTTCTAATTTTTGTTCTTATTGTCCAGGCTTCCAACACCATAGAAAGTAAGGATGAATTTACATGGCAATTGATGATTCCCATTTTGTAGCATGTTTATTATCTCTTTAGATGTTAAAAATTCTTGCAAGTTACTGAAAATAGTTTAGACCGTTCCTACTCCTTTTTTTGTATTTCTATTTCACGTCTACCATCTTCTCTTATTACATAATGTGAATATCATCCAACAGACAATCATAGACTCTACCAAATGCACAAAATTTTTCCTTATGAATTTCAGCTTGTGAATGTTATGCAAGTGGAACACAGTCATGCAACTCACCAACAGGCCCCTGTGTGTGTAAACCTGGATATAATGGGAGTGACTGTTCCACTGATGTCAATGAATGCCTGCAAAATCCCTGTCCTGCTCACTCTTATTGTTTGAATGGGTTTGGATCCTTTTATTGTTACTGCTGGAATGGGACCATAGTTGATGCTAAAGCCACTTGTGATGGTAAGAATGTTTCTTCTTCCTCTCCTTCTTCTTCCCCCCTTCTTCTCCTCCTATTCTTCTTTTTATTGCTCTTCTTCTTATTGTTCTAAGCCGTTCCAGTTGATTGCTGCAGATATCACCCTGGTCCATTCCTCTCAATGATTGACTTTCTTTATCCAGTTTATGACACCAAGAATTTGAAGGTCTACCTGAATGTTATCTCTCACCCATCTTCCTGGTTTCCCTAATTGTCTCCTCCTAGTCAACTCTTTTGTGTATGAGGTATATATACTCTAAGAATTCAATTAGCACTATAAATCCCAATTAAAACCCTGAGGGTTGAACATAAAATTCTTGAGAAATTACTGCATGAAGTATTTGTCTCCCAGTTTTCTGTCATTCTTTCTCTACATCTCCCAATCACTGCAGTCTATTATGAAATGATGTTAACCACATCACCCATCCAATGTGCTAAATTCCCAGCATGCCCTCAGAAATGTATAATAACATATTTTTGAAATAGGGCATGCAAATTGTATTGTATCTGAATTTATTGGCTTATATAAGTAATAGTTTGTTGAAGCATTCCAGTTTGTTTTAGCAAGATAGACACCATTGGAGCTTGCTATGCAACATATATCAGTGGTTTCTAAGGTAGCACAATGACTTTTGGTTGACATGATATCTTTAGAGGATTTTAGGCAATGCCCAGTACAACTGTGTGACAGCTTGGGTACTGGCTGCAACTGCATAATGTGTTGACTAGGGGTTATGATTATATTCCCCCTCCCGACTCCCCCCTCGACACTAGACCCCCCGCCTCCAACCGCCATTGGTTCGATTTTTATGGTGTGGAGAAAAATGCACACACAGATATTTAAAGAAACTGCAGCTTCATCATCATAATTGCATAACACTTCTATCTGTGGAAAAGTGAACAAAACCACTTTTTAAATAATTTTCTACTTATTGGTAGTGTCTAAATGCACCTTGTCCCCTAGTTTGTTTAGAGGCTTGAGTAGGTACAATTTCTTCTACAATGTTTAAGACACAAGGCTTTTCTTCTGGTCACACAATATTTGAAGGGGAAAAGGTGCAGTGGCTTATCAATAAAATCTCTATGCTTTGAAAATGATGAACTAGTTTTATGTTTGAATTTTAAAACTGTGTTAACTGTTGTGTGTTAGACTGAGCAAAGATTTCACTCATGAACTAGCTATTTACAAAGTCAAGCATCGAAATAATGTGCCTACTTTCAAAAACATACAAAATTGTTTTCATTCTGGGTTGTTCAGACTGGCATAAAGAATTGAGTGCTGATGTAGGCTACATACAAAGTCAAGCATTCCCAAACCAGTATCCAGACTATGTAAACTACACTTGGACAGTTGTTGGCAAGCCAGGCACAGTTGTTTCCCTTAGGTAATTATAATTTATTTTCTTCTAATAAAAAAAAAACTTGCTGCTTTACATTCATTTTCATAGTATGAGCTTTTAACTGTTCACAAAGCAGTGGCAAACTGCTGAATGTTAAATTGCCTAGTAAAGTCACAAACAACCAACACATACTAGAGTTTATTTGTGAGATCCTGTCAAATTTTAATCATAATAAGTCAACTAAGTAAAGAATCATTTTCCATGCCTTCGGGTTTATTGGGCATAAAGGGCTGGATATTGAACTGCTCGTCCTTTTCAGGATGAAATTTTTCGTTATTTGAAGCCCTACTCTGGCTTTTGCCAGGGGCCGCAATATAGCCTGGCCATAAATATGGCCTAAAGGCTGGACGCGGTTTCTGGGACCTCTCCACGGTGATCCTTACCCACATGGTGGCACATTGTGTCATTGGGTGTTTATCGCTTGTGTGATGTCCTAGTGGGGTAGAAAGTCAGTCAGTCAGTCAGGGCTAGATCTATATTTTATAGACCAATCGGGACTTGGCGAGTGATGTGATAAGCATCACGCCAGCGGCCTTTACTTCCTAGGACTTTTACCTGGTGTCCATTCACGGCTGGGTCGACCTGGGAACCAAGGTCATTTTTGAAAAAGGCTGGCTCCATCAGGACCTGAACCCATGACCTTCTGATCGGCAGGTGAGCATCTATCTTCTACACCACGGTGGCTTCTTATTATTAATAGATTGCTTATTAATTATAATCTCGTATTAAACTCCTTTAACTCTTTGAGTCCCAAGGAACGCATCATACGCTCATAGATTCCTACCTAGAAGCCCAGTAAATGCAAGATGTGCTGTTTTTACTTCTCTCTTGACTACCCCTTGGGCCTGTGATGCTAAACCCCCTGGGACTCAAAGAGTTAAAGGCTCTGATGGCTGGGGCACATTTGGAAGATGGTAGAGTCCTTAAGGACATCTTCTTTGATGAATTACAGATAGGTAGAAGATGTCAAGGTCAGCTTCTTTTACAGTATAAAGATGGGTGCAATCAGGACATGAATGATACAGGTATTGAGGTAGATTTGTTGGAACAGAGAACATGGACCCATTTACAAGGAGGAGGAAACTCAGTAACGGAAGATGATAAAGGAATACCTGATCTCAGCAGGTTGGTAGCTGAATGTTACAGAAAAGGCTTTTAATACATGAGATTGTGGTCGTGAAATCCTTGTTCTAACTGTGGAAGACTTTTCTCAAAGATAGCAGCTCACTAGAAATGTCACGGGTGGTGGGCATGCGTTGGATCTTTTCTCCAGGCCATGCCAGCGTGGTGGGTAATGAACAGGCAGACAGATTGGCTGGATCCACACCACTGGGTGGTGAATTGATACATGACAAGGCAGGTGTGGTCAAGGCCCTTTGGGAACAAGCAACGGAATCAGTAGAGAAAGAAGATTATTATGGCCTGGAGAGAATGAGGCACCTGGGTGTAACCAGAGGATCTGGCCGGCTCATTACACTCAGAAGAAAGGCAAGACAGACTTTTATCTAGATTGTAACCGGTACCATCAGTATTGGAACTCTGCACTGGCTGCTGAAGATGAGGATGGAGCATGCATGGGAATGCCCCGAGTGCTGTGATGTCAATTCTTGTATCATTGGAACTCAATTAAACTCAAAGATAGCAGCTCTTGTTGGGGACACTTACCATCACCATGAGCTATGAATCCATGTCTCCCTGTGGCACAGTATAACACTCTGGAAACACAAGAAGGTGCCAACATTAACAAACAACACAACAGTATTTCAATAAAATTATTAGAATGCTGAACAGTTAAACACCTTCCAGCCAAGAACACTAGAATCCTGTAGCAGGTGGTTGTGGTGTCAACTAATTTTATATCTTTGACTGCTTCTTTGACTACCAGTTTTGTTTTGGTTTTTTTTTTAACATTAATTTTGGTAAATGTTGTTTTAATGCAATTATTACTTTAACTTTTTTTTTTTTTTTTGCAGTTTTTTTTTTTAAATTTAAATATGTCTGAATTATGCACAATAACATGTTTGGTTGTGAGGGATTTATTTAAATGCTTCATTTAATTTTATTGTGACTCTAGTGGGCACTAAGTAATTCAGAAGGAAATACGCCAGGCCATAAATTGTGCAATCAGCTGGAGACATTTCGTTTACTTTTATTTACCAGGCTTCAAGAGATACAGAAGCACTGATGACCAAACCTCTTATCTCGCACAGGAAATTGAAGATGCTTTCCAGAAAAAATACTGCTAGCTACTTTCTTTGACTTGACCAAAGCCTTTCCTAAGGTCTGGAAGAAAGGACTCCAGCACATAATGGGATAAAACGGCAAATGTTTGCCTGGATTCAAGACTTTCTTTACAGATGCTGTGCAAGAGGCAGACTGGAAGAACACAAGAACAAGCTGGTCAGGTTACAAGAAGGTGTCCCCCAGGGAGGAGTTATATCTCCTACCCTGTTGATCCTTTTCATCAATGACCTTCCAGAACAGTTCACGACTCACATTCACAAGGCGCTACATGCAGATTACCTGGCCATATAGACCCAAGCTGAACATATAGGAACAGCTAAAACAAAAAAGCAGGAAGCTATAAATACAGTTAACAAATGGACAGACTCTTGGGGAGTCACATGTTGTGTGCTATCTGAGTTACACAATAATCAGCACACGACCAAGTGTCCACAGGTATAAATGTTCACTTGACACACTGAGTTACGACATGACGCTGTCAGCTCTGCCATACATCAGGTTTATTGGAACAACACACGAGGGTATTCACAAGCCCTCACCTAAGCATCGTGGCCAAGCTCTTTGGGTATTATTTAGCTAACATGCGCTGGCTTGCAAATTATTCCTCACTATGACACTTAACAACAGAAATGGTTTATCATGATGATGATGATGATGATGATGAGAAAGAATAAACTTAAAAACTGAGTGACAAATAGTAAACTTGATGTAAAAGAACATAGCTTGGCCACATGGCTTGGCCACATGACTTGGCCGTATAGCTTGGCCACATAGCTTGACCACTTGATTTGGCCACATGGCTTGGTCGCATGGCTTGGCAGCATGACTTGGCCGTATAACTTGACCACATAGCTTGTCCACATGATCTGGCTGCATGGCTTGATCACATGACTTGGCCGTATAGCTTGGCCACATAGCTTGACCACATGACTTGGCTGTATGGCTTGGCAACATAGCTTGGTAAACATGGCTTGGCCATATTGCTTAGCTACCCAGGTTGCGAAATAGCTTGACCACATGGGTTGCCAAATGGCTTGGCACATGTCTTGGTCCCTATCTTGGCCACATAACTTAGGTAAGACAAGAACACTGACTTGTTGGCTGTGATGATCGTGTCAGATAGTAAACCATGACTGCCTCTGCTTGTCATTTTTAGCTGTCAGTTATCATATCCCGAAGTTTTGAGACATTTTTTAGTCCCCTGAGTACAGTGGACTCTCCTCTTCCCAATTACCACCACTTATTTGTTTACCACCTCTAATCTGGTGAAATCTAGCTTCTATGTCTATGTCTACCTACTGGTAGGTGTGAGATAGTTCAAATATTAATAGGACAGACTGATACTGTGATACTTCCTTCTCTTAATCCATTTCTTTTATCTTCTTCTTTTGTCAATATCTGCTTATGCCGCTAGGCTTCTTAGTTCATGGCTCACTCTGTCACTTGATATGCCGTGATGTTTTGTAGACTGAAGGTGTCAGTGACTCCTTCAATTCATCTTCTTCTCAGTCTTTCCCTGCCTCTTGATGTTTCAATTTTCATGTTGTACTCTCCTTCTGCTGGCATCATAGGTTTTATTCTCATTAGACGGCCAAACCATTTCATTCTTTGTTTCTCAATAAATATGACAATGAGTGTTGTTTCAACAGTTCTTGTGATCACATAGTTTCTCACTCCGTTGCTTCTGGTTTTATTCACTGCCATTCTCAAACATCTCATCTCAGAGGTGGTTAGTTTTCTTTCATGTTCTTTTGCCAACGTTTAAGTCTGACATTGGTAACCTAAAGTCGGTATAGATATTGTATTTATAGTTTTTGTGTGTTTCTATTGAGATAGAAGAGTGTTTTAAAATTGGAGCAAGCTGGTACATGACATTGTTGGTTTTAACATAGCCATATTTGTAACCTTGAATACACTGTCTGATGTATTATAATCAAGACAAAAACAAGGGCACCAATGAAGCAACATAGATCAGCAAACAAGCACCATTATATAATCTGGCAAGATCAAAACGATGCTGACAGCCTTTACTTTCCAGGACTTTACCTGGTACCCATTTAAGGCTGGGCTGCCCTGGGAGCCAAAGCCATAAAGAAAATCTGGTTCCATGTGGATTTGAAACCGTGACCTTTGAATTCGTCCCAAGAAATGAAAGTGTGAATAGCAATGAAAGAACTGATAGACTGGCTGTCTATGTCAAATTTGTAGACAGCTAGCCAATGTATTATGCTGAAATTGTTAATAGTCTTCAAGAGAAAGAATATTTTGAGGTTCTTATGGGCAATGTGTCTACATTTCTGCTAAGAATGAGAGAAATGGGGCTGAAAAGGGGGGGGGGGGGGGGGGGGGGTAGAGGGTAAAGATCATCACAGGCAGGCAAAACAGGGATATGAGAACAACATGACTGACACAATTAACCATGGGACAATGATGCATATGTTGAGGGGAAAGTCTGAGCATCTATGGATGTGTCTGGAGTGCCATGAGAGTAGCATGACTCCTTGTACCCATGTACCTCTCACTAGCTAAACATCTACATGACCAGTAATCATCTACACAGATGAATCCGTGAAATGCGGATCAAGGTCAGCATGGGCATACACAGCGCAAAGAAGGGGGAAAACAATACATGAGGACAGCGGTGCTTACCAGACAACCACGTCAAGCATGACAATGGAAATAGCCGCTGCTTCTAGAGCTTTAGCGTGGGTATCCGAGCAAACCGCCGCACAGGCAGTAATTGTCTCAGACTCAATGAATATGCTTCAGAAGATAGCAACAGGCAGTATGCGCTCTGAATGGATAGAAAGCATTCGGAAATCGCACTTAACCTCCATAATCTGAATCTACACACCGGGTCATGCGGGCGTAAAGAGAAATGAGCGAGCGGACCAACTGGCAAGCACTGCGCTAATGATTGCGGGAAAAAGCATGGACAGAGCAAATATCGTCAACGCTGTACAGGCTGGGCTAGTGGATAATCAGGCATCCCTGACACTGGCACAATTGCGTGACATGGGAGTTAAGCATTAAGACGATATAACCAGCTTCTCATGGGGAAAATTAGTAGAAGTACTTTGGAGTGGCTGCCGCTTCGGAAAACTGAGCACACGTGGGTATGTCCAATGTGCAGTGACATCAAGTGTGATAACAAAACATAAAATAACATCTTGTAGGGAGTCGGCAGTCCGAAACCCAAGTTCAAGGTATCTCCTTCGTGCCAAAGAACAGCATGGCTGTTGGGTGAACAGTCGTTAACGAAGGCAGGCAGGTCATTGTAGGGGCGACGCCTGCTGGTGGATGTAATGTCCTAAGTCCCTTCCCCAGCTAATAATGAGGGTACTGCTGGGGTGACTGTTTATTAAGCCTCATATAATGCTTCAGGTCAAAATGGACGCTAGGCACGGCCACCTTTTTTTTTCCTGCCAGACGGTGGTCGTTGCATTTTTGCTCCATTTGTAGACTGGAAGGATATAGTTTCGTCGCGCAGCTTCTGAATTGAGTGCATGGCGTGACACTGTGAGCTACATGTATTTTTCATTGGCACAGGAGCGGAGTAACTATGGGGTGACCTGTTTGCTATGAAGCTGAAACTAAGATTACCAGATTACCAGATTACTAGCTAAACAAAGTTACTTGCTACGTTTCATCATATTTAGGTTTATTGTAAGACATTTATGTGATAATATCTCTATAATAAAGTTGTTTTTCCTGCTGCATCTTAAATTTAAAATTTAAGATTTGTTTGTTTCTGTTTAACAGGTTTTCTAAATTTTATGTTGATGCATCTTCAAAATGCTATCAAGATTCGGTAGAGATTTATGATGACAGCAAAAACAGTAGCAGACTCATTGGTCAGTATTGTGGAGATAATATTCCAGGCTTACTGAGAACCAGGACAGAGAGAATGAGGATTCATTTCAAAACTGATAATGGCAACCATGACAATGAAGCTATAGGTTTCAACGCCACATACAACTCACACCGTAAGCATGATTTCCTCCTCTTTTCTTCACCCAGTGACTTAAGTGTAATGTTGGAGAAATGTAAAAGATTATTTGTATGTTCTTAACTCTTTAAGGCCCAAACAACGGTGTGAGCGTAGTTTGAGAAGTTCCGTTTTGCCCAAACAACAGTGTCATCGTTAATCGTGTATCTCTTACATTTTGCTTCGCATGCGCGTTCGTACTAGTTTCTAATGTTTGGAGGTACGAATAACCTATTCAGGGAAAGTCACTCTACCGAAATCCTTTTAGTTTCAATTCTTGGACTAAAACACACGTGGATAATTTGAGAGAAAAAAAACATCAATTTTTTTTTTTACAGTTTATTTTCTAAGTTCGTTTTTGAGTGGACTGAATACAAATGTTCTAACCACAAGAACAGGTCGCAGAATGCGTCTTTATGCGGCCGAAGCTCTGAAATTGTTTCAGTCAGATGTTTTTAATTGTGAAAATGGTAATAAAAATTTAGATTTTTCGGAAAGTGATTCAGACAGTGAATTTTCACCAGTGAAGCTGAGCGATCAGCTGTTCGGAATCTAGCGATTCTGACGAGTTTATTACACAGACAATGTCCCATACTACCGTATTTATGGTGTAAGAGGAGGAAAGTGCTCTAAACAAAGAGATAGTACTATACTATGGCTAAGCTACATTGAAATCATCGCAGCTACAGTCTGTAAATAACTGTACAAAGTGAATAGTAAATAGTGTGTGTGTTATGGCTCATTTTTCTGCCATTTTTTCTCTGAAATTTTGCTTAGCACTCGGTGGGAACTAAGAGCCCCTGAGTGATAAACTAACCCAGAAAGTTATCATAACTTTAGAATATGTTAGGAAATTGAGCAAACTTTGAAGTTTTGTTCTCAAATTTGGATATTTACTATTCTTGTGGCTGCAAAACCATGGTAAGTGAAGAATTTTTGTGTGAAATGTTGTCCTTGTGAAATTAACACCTGCTGAATTCTTCTTTTCCACTAACTATAACAAAATTAAACAAACACTTATCATCAGATTCAGAATGTACGCTCATTTCTCGTTAAAAAAATATATTCTGTTATAGGGATTAGAAGTATATTACAGTCTCTACAGCCTTTCTTGTACACCCACCCCTCTGCCATTTTTGTAAAGGGAAATTAATGTGGGCCAAGTCTGTCAAAATTCATGGGCCTGAAAGAGTTAATGTTTTGTTTTTCTTTTCTTCAAAGTTCTTGATGTCTTTATTTCCTCTTTTGCATTGTCTTTCCCTTACTATGTGTTCACTTTTTTTATTTGGTGAGGCTCTATGGAGCAGTTGGTACCAGTGCATTTTCATTAGATAGCTGAATCATCTCATCATTAATTATATGACTAGTGTCAGTCCTAGTCATCATCATCATCATAAAGCACCTCTGCGAATAAGCATCATGGGGAGCATTAATCTGCTATCCAGTGTATGCTGGCAGCCACTGGCTGTTGCCATGCTGTGAAGGCGTAGAGTGTCTTTAATAAAGTCGATAAACTGGTTTATTCATCATGTGTGTGATGTGAGCGCTGACTGAATAATAATTTTTCTTTAGATTCTCCCAGAATTCTTGAGCAATTTCACATAAACAAATAAATGCCCAACCAGCTTGTGGGACCTGTCACAGGGTCATCCCTATTTGATTACACTGATGTTTAAAAGCACACAATAACAGACATTTATGTCCCACAGACTGCTAACTAACTTGTCCACTCCTAACTTCCTCATTTTGAATTGAATCCCTTCTTGTTACTCCTTGAGCTCTGTCAGTTATGATTATTACCTCAGCAGTTGTAGCAAAGGTCCATGTTTAGCACTGGCAACATTGTGTCAGCCAAAATATAGTTCTTATAAGATTTTCCTTCATAGACAAAGTATCTTTCTATTTATCAGAAATCCTATTAATTGTTCCAGTATCTGATTTTTCAGCCTAATTTTATTATTATTTTTCTTCTCTTCCACCTTGTACCTCATCAAAATGTCGCGGGAGATGTAACATTTGTCAGTGAGCTCTGTCAAGAGCACTATTAGGACTGATGTTCATTTCTGTAAGGCTGTTCTTAATGCCATCACTCCATCTTTTCCGAGGTCTTCCACTCGCTCTATACCTGTTGTAACATTTCAGTGTAGCTCGCTGTGGCAGATAGTACCAGGGCATTCTTTAAAGGTGTCCAGACCACTTCATTTGTTTTTCTTTGATGACCTGTAAGACTGGCTTTATTCCTAGCATTCATCTGATTTCTTGATTTTATATTATATCTTTCCTTGAAACTCCTGCAGCTCTACAAAGGCATTTCATCTCTGTTGTCACAATGTTACATTCATTGGAGGATGTAAGTGTCCACGTTTGGCACTGATAGCATAGTGTTGGCCAAAAAAATAGTTGAGATAAGATTCAATTTAGTACTCTGGGGTATCTGCTTGTGTGTCAACAGGGGAGATAGTTGGCCAATTACTTGATTAGCTATGGCATATATCGAGCTAATTTCTCTGTCCAGTTGTCAGTAGTTTTATTACATGTGTGTTATGCAACAGCTTGTTGTGATTAGATTATTACAGAAAACATTAGAATTATTCTTTGTCCAAGTTTTCTGTGACTAGAAGCATGCAACCAGAGTGGACTGGCGCTCACATGCTGGCACTGAGGTCTGGGTGTGAATTTTCGTATATGACCTTGCCTCCTAGGATGACTTAGCCAAAAATGGGTACTAAGAAATAAGCTGAAAGGTAAAGGTACCTGATTTGATGTTAACCACATTGTCCATTGAGTGCCACTTGGGACATAAAAATACTAGTCTAACATCATCATCTGACCATTGCATCACCAGTGGATCCCCTGTATTTTTTAGAAAAAAGAATCAGTTGAACAGTTTAAAAGAAGTTGTTTGGATTATCAAAACTCTATAGCTCCGGCAGTAGTACCTGGAGGAAGCTCTGAAATATCTGTACTTGCCAACCAAAAGACAGTCCAAAAGTGAACCCATGGCTGTCAAGGCCTGTGGGAATGGTTTAACCATTTCTACTGTTAAGACAGAGGGCAAGGATAATAAAAATAACTATTACAGAATGATTCCACAGCTGAGCACAAGGAAGTACATTTAGTTGTAAATACATCTGACAAAATCTGCAAAGACAGTAGTCTCAACCAAAACAACAATGACAACAACAACGATAATGGCAACAACAACAACAACATTAACAACAACAATAACAAAAAGAATTTTTTTAAAGGCAAAAACTGAAGAAAAAAAGGCATTCAGAAATAGTGCAGTTAATAAATCACTAAGTACAGATACAGTGGTAACAGATTCAGAGGTTGACCATGCAGAATATAGATCACAGAATTATCAGAGACACTGAAAAGTACTTTATTTGAAGCAAATAGAAGGGTCCATTCAAGAGATCTCTACTGGCCCTGATATGCTGATATGGCGAGGCATTCCAAGAGTAGAGAAAAGAAGAAGATTGATTACAATTAATCTGATTACGCACATTATTTTGACATGTTTAAAACAAATTATCATTGATTCATTTCTTTTCTCCTATTGAAAGTCTGTCCACTTTTCAAGTATGGAGATCAAATATGTAACCTCCCTTGCTCTTGTGCCTTTGATAAAACTGAACTCTGTGACAACACCAATGGTGTCTGCTTCTGTAAGCCTGGCTGGGTGGGACGTGGCTGCTCACAGGACTTGGATGAGTGTCGGAATGCAACAGCATGCCCTTCAAACTCAGACTGTATCAATGAGGTTGGGACCTACACCTGTAAATGTCATCCTGGGTATGTTGAAGACAGCACCACTGGTTTTTGTGAAGGTGAGTCTTGATTGAATTAGGCAATAACATTGTTCACATGATGAAAGTTTAAAATTATTGTGATACTTTGACATACAGTTTTGGCAGTGGAATATTAATAAGCAGTAAAAACAAATTGCCGATGCGGACAGGTTTATGATATGTGGCGACAGACCCTGATTAATGATGATGAGACAGATGTCAGCATTTGACCTGATACAAGGTATTATGTTCTGGATGGAAAGACTCAGGGAAGACCAAAAGAATGAATGTTAGACAATTTTATATTGCTGCATGAAGGAATCTGTTACTAAAATGACTGGCACTACATGAGATAGAAAGCAATTGGCAGACATGACACCCAACATCACACACTATTAGAAGACATTTGAAAAAAGTATCAACCAGTTTCTGACAGTATAAAAGTAGATAAATTTAGAATTTAAAAACATGTCTTCATAGTCTCCCCCCCCCCCCCAAAAAAAAAAAAAACGATATGATGAAAATGACTAGTTATGAATCAAGACACATATTTTCTTTAACATACCAAGTGATGAAATAATTATCCAACTTGACTGTAATATTTAAGCAATGAAATTACAGGAAAGAAGCCTGTTACCAAGCCTCATAAACACGGGAACTAACCTTTGTCTTCGCTAGCAGGGATCCTCAATAGTACAGTCATTAGTACACACGTCAGCTAGTCCAAACAAACATGTCCATTCAGGTCAATCTTGCTTAAAATCATCATCATCAGTCAGAATGTCCTTTACAATATGCCCAATTAGCCTTTACAGCTGACATAGCAAATGGACGGGATTGTCCGAGTGACATAATTGCTTTGTGTCTGTTTACAGCATAGCTGTGATATTTCCCCCTTTTAGCCGACACATCTCATTTCATCCGGCATTTGTTCACTAGGTTAGTCTTCCCAGTTCATTTCATGGAACATGACATAGCCTCTTTCATGTTGTATCCTCTTTGTCCTTTTACCTGTGGGTATTACCCTTAGAGGACACATCCAGGACAACTGGGTATAGACTGGTTGGCCCTGTGGAATGTGTGTGTCTGTGTGTTTGTGTGAGTGTTGCGTATGTCTATGTCTGTGTCTGTGTGTTTCCCTGCCTGCGTGCGTGTTTGTGTGTGTGTGCCTGTGACTGCATGTGTGTGTGTGTCTGTGTGGGTTTAGGTCTGTGTGTGCCGGTGTGTGTGTTTGTGTGGCTGTGTGTGTCTATGTATGTGTTTGTGTATCTATGTGGGTTCACCTTTGTGTGCGTCAGTGTGTGTGTTTGTATGGGTCTTTTTGTGCGGCTACATTTTTTGTATGTATGTCTTTGTGTGTATATCTGTTTGTGTCTGTATGTGTCTGGGTTGTATGCGTGTGTATTTTAGAGCGTGTGATTGTGTGTATGAGTGTGTGTGTGGGTATATATGTATGTATGTGTGTGTATGTGTGTGTGTGCGTGTTCATATGTATGTGGATGTATGTGTATATTTTGTGCCTATGTGTGTAAGTGAGTGAATGGGTTTGCATGTGTATGTGGGTGTGTGTGTTCGCACATGAGCGTGAGCACATATTTTACCACCCATGCTTTTGTTTTTGACTTGATATTCATAATATGCATATTATTACATGAACATAACATGCAGCAAGTAGAATACATCAGCCTTTTTCATCAGCAAAAGATCATGTCTTATCAATTATCAGGAGAAATGTTTGTGTCTTATGTTTTGCAGCAAGCTCCCAGTGCAGTAAAGCCATGAGGAAGAAATGTTTGTGTCTTATGTTTTGCAGCAAGCTCCCAGTGCAGTAAAGCCATGAGGAAGAAATGTTTGTGTCTTATGTTTTGCAGCAAGCTCCCAGTGCAGTAAAGCCATGAGGAAGAAATGTTTGTGTCTTATGTTTTGCAGCAAGCTCCCAGTGCAGTAAAGCCATGAGGAAGAAATGTTTGTGTCTTATGTTTTGCAGCAAGCTCCCAGTGCAGTAAAGCCATGAGGAAGAAATGTTTGTGTCTTATGTTTTGCAGCAAGCTCCCAGTGCAGTAAAGCCATGAGGAAGAAATGTTTGTGTCTTATGTTTTGCAGCAAGCTCCCAGTGCAGTAAAGCCATGAGGAAGAAATGTTCCCACTTGTGTGATCTCAACCCAGTCACTAAGAAAGAAAAGTGCATGTGTCCCGAGGATATGGTTTTAAACAGTGATGGAATTACGTGTGTTGGTGAGCATGTTGTATTTATGTATTGTGTATTTTATGTTTGTGGCATTTCAGGTATCCATAAAGACCTTTGATAGTTCTGTCTTGTTTCAGGGTTGAATTATTGAATGTATTTATGAGTCTTCTTCCCATAATAGAGTCATTGTGGTGCAGTATCTAGATGTTTGTCTGTTGGCTTACTGCTTTTGTATCTGAAGCCACATCATTCAGATTTGTATAAGTGGCCTTGGATCCTAGGTCCACCCTTGCTAAAATGGCTACCAGGAATGTATTTTTAAGAAAAAAAATGGCAGGTGCTTTGTTTACCACATCACCCATAGAATGTTATTTATTATCTCTATGTGGGTTCCAAAGCCCAATTTTAAAGGAAGAAAGAATTTCCTCTCCACCTTCAACAAGTGTATAGCTTACTGAAATGAAATTGGATATTTTGGGCTGAAAGGCACAGATATCACAGCCTAGCTGTAAACCTCAACATAACATGCCAGTCACAATTTTTAAGGGTAAATGCCAAAGAGGTAGAAGCTAACCAGTTTATAAAGATATGGGTTTAGCAGCATATGCCCTAGATGCCCTTGGCTTCATCTAGCATATGATACCACAGCATCCAGCTGAACAATGGAGGTGGAGGTGGTCACTGCAGCTTTTTGCTGGCTAGAGAACACGATATACACACACACATCATGATTGTAACTGACTCACAAAGCATGCTTAGGAAGGTGAGGACAGGCATACTTTCTGTAGAGTTGCATGCTTCGTGTTGAAAGTCGTGAGTGAAGAGCATTGTCTGGATCTTCTCTCCAGAGTATTCTCGTGTATTGGAAAATGAAAAGGTGGACAGACTGGCTGGCTCTGCACAACATAGTGAAGTACTGTTGCATGATGTGGTAGACCATCACAGTCTAATAGGAGTGCTGAGGCGAGAGGTGACAAGAGGATCTAGTCGATACTCAGTGCTAAGAAGAAAGGCAAGATGGACAGATATTCAGATTACTACTGGCACCATTGGTATTCAAACTCTGCTCTGGCTGTTGAAAATGGGTGCAGAGTGCTTGTAGGAATGCCCTGAGTGCACTGGTGTCGGTTCTTGAATCAACTCAACTCAACTACTTCATCTTAGGATAGAATGTAAATGCAACAACTGCTTTTGACAGAAAGAATTACACATTGATTTCCCTTGGTCTCTCAACTTCAGCATCACTCTACCCACATGGGCCTGAAGCTGCTGATGAAGTCCTCAATCCAAAAAGTAATAACAGAGTCAACAACATCTCAGTGAGCCCAGCCATCAGGTTCAGCTCAGATGTTCCAGTTGGCAAGAGTCTTCAATACCAAGCTTATGTATGTATCTACTTATCCTTATCTTTATCTCATTAGCAAGCTTATGTATGTGTCTACTTCTCCTTGTCTTTATCTCATTACCAAGCTTATCTATGTATCTACTTCTCCTTTTCTTTATCTCATTACCAAGTTTATGTATGTATCTACTTATCCCTTTCTTTACATCCTTATGTATCTATACAGTGGCATACCTAGGGTATGGCTGGTAGGGCAGATGCCCTGGTCATTGCTCCAGGTGGGTGCCACAGGCACATTTTTTGTTTAGAGTGACAGCCTCTTGCTTCATTAAAAGCAAGAAAAGAGCATTTGTAGTTTTAATCTTGTGTTAATAAATAGTCATAATTTGTTAATTAAGGATTTGTTAACCTGTTACATTTTTTTTTTGGTTAGAAGACAAATTAAAATAGTAATAATAGTAATAAAAATAAAAATATTAATGAATTACGTTTACTAACTTATGAAATTAATTATAGGTAACCATTTTTAGTCAAAAAAATATTTTTTTTTTTTACTTAGTGAACTAAGAAGTTTTATATTTAAAAAAAAAAACAAATTATGAAAATCTATTGTGAGTACCTGTTTGTAATCATTGTGTGCTGTGTTTGATCCTGAAACTGATTTGTAAGCTAAAGTTTTAGATTCCTTGACTTTAGAAACCTATCTTTAGTATCTGCAATAATGCCTACTGTTTTCATTATTAATTTAACAGTTATTGACAGCACTCTTAGAGTTAAGAGTTTACACTGCTAATATTACATACCTTAACAGTAAACACCTACTACATTTTATATATCTTTGAATTATTGTTGCAAAGGCATTAAACAGACTCCTATTGCACTACAAAGTCTTTAAAAGTAGCTTCCAAAACTGACCAAAAACTAATGAAAATTACACAAATTTTCTGACCCCCCTTTTTTTTTTTCCCCTTCTCCTACCACCTACCATGGGTTTCAAATATCCTAGGTATGCCCCTGAGTAAAGAGCACAAAAGTGTGATCATAAACTTTGTTTTATACTCATCTTTATATCCTGATCTGGTTTGTGAGCTTACATTGTATTTTTTCATCCTTATTCAGAATTGTATCTTAAATTTGATCATATATTATGTTTTCTGCTCATTCTTTGGAAATGCACGAGTGTTAAGAAATAAACAGGCACACATATTAGCTGGTTCTACACCAATTGGGGGGGGGGTATTTATGCATGAAAAGCTAGCTGTGGTCAAGGCTCTTTGGAAGCAAGTGAACTTTGCAGAGGCACGAACTGATCATGGTCTGGAGAAGAATAGTATGATTGGGAGTGAGCAGGGAATCTGGCTGATACTCTACACACAGAGGAAAGCCATGTGTATGCCCTGAGTGTTGTGATGTATGTTCTTAGCGCAGCACTCTATATTCATTTGTAATTTTCTCTATTTTATGTGCTTACATTCTATTTTGTACTCCTGAGGTCTTCTTCTTCTTCTTAGCATTCACTGGCTGTAACTATTAGCAGAAAGTCGTGGCTTTTCATCCAATACTGGATTTTGGTCATCTCCTTTTCATATCCAAGATAGGGGAAATTTTTTTTACCTGTTCTAATGTATCATTATCTACTATTATGTTCTTTTCTCAGGTTCTCTACAATGGGGTAATCCTTTTCAACAACAAAGAAGTCAAAGGAACACCAGATCTTAAAGCTGCCCGTCTTGGCAGTCAGAATATCCTGGCTCCCTTGTGGATCGACAACAAAGGTCATGGAGTAGGAGCAGTGTTCTACCATCTGTATGAGAACTGTAACTCAACAGTTTTCTTAGAACCAGCCCCTCAGAGCATACCAGCGCCCAAAAGGAGCGAGGTTGTGGCCAGAGCTGTCAAGGAGATAAAAAAGATTTTCAAATTAGCAGATTTTCAAGTGGGCACAGTTCTAGTTGCAACCTGGCAAGCTGTTCAACCAAAGGTTTGCTATACTTTGAAATTGGCTTATTCATATGTCATTAAATATTACAGCTTCATTTCTTCTGTTATTTTGTAAAAAATTTCAGTTCTATTTCACAGAGATAAACATGGAGATAAGCACATTTGCTGCAGACCCACATGTACATATTGACACAACCTAGTGTACACATGTACGTGCGCACACACACATGCGTATACACACAAAGAGACAATGACATATAAACACACAATGTAGACAGAAGCAAATGAACAGATGCATCCAGCAAACACAAACACTTAAGTTCTCTCTCTCTTTCACACACACACCACACACACACACACACACACACACACACTTACTTTTGTGGATAGATGCTAATGCTTAGATTCAAACACAAACATCCGAGCTCTCACACATATATATATACACACACACACACACATAAATTAATTTTATATCGAATAAAATAAAACTGTCACAGAATGAAGTGAAAGCAGCTTTTAAAGGAAAAAATAATAAATTTTTAGATGTAGACAGTCTTACCAACACTATGTTGTCAATGTCAAACAGGGACACTGTCTTCAGAAGACAGAAGAAAAATAGTCATGACAGAAATGAAATTTTTACGTACTATGCTAGGTGTAAAAAAGAAAGATCAACTTAAGAATGATGATAACAGGAGGAGAGTCAGCACAGAACAAGTACTGAACTTTATAGGTAAACAACAAATCAAATGGTTTGGCCATATAAAATAATATGTGCCCGTGCACACACATATATACACACACACTCATATGTGCCCGTGCACACACACACACACATATTTGCTTCTGAAACACATATTTAGACTCCCACAAGCTGACACAGATGTAGTTTCAAACAACCAGACCTCTGAACTTTTTTTTTCACCACACACATACGAGCATGTTGGCACACACACACATTAAAAAAATCAAACCTAAACTTGCCAGTTTGTCACTAACCTTCATGTTGTTTTCTTCTCACAGGGCTGCCAGGGTAAAATGTCAAAAATTTTCATCACGCTGTTTTTGGTTCTTGTTGCACTTTACATCTCATACTTTTGATTTTCACATGCCACAAGCAGATGGGAGCAATTTTTATGGATTCTCCTTCTCAAAGTCAATGCCAATTGGTATTGGTAGTCATGTCCGTCTACAACCTTCGGTCTCATGTACTTTCAATCAACTCTGAGAATGAGGCACCTGGGTGTAACCAGAGGGTTTGGCAGGCTCATTACACTCAGAGGAAAGGCAAGACGGACATATAACCAGATTGTGACTGGTACCAGATTGCGACCGGTACCATAGGTATTGGAACTATGCGCTGGCTGCTGAAGATGAGGACAGAGCACACATGGGAATGCCCCGAGTGCTGTGGTGTCAATTCTTGGCTCAACTCAATTCAACTGAACTAGCGACATTGAGAAGTATCTATTTTCACGTTTTTTGGGCATATAGGACATATTGTGCTACCCAGAAATTATACGCCACTCATCACGCAAGGAATGATGATGTTGATACCATGTTAACATCTTATTTTTCCAAACATTTTCTGTTACCAGTTTTTATGTTGAGTTGACCTATGAATCCAAGTCAGTGTTAAAAATCTGGCAGGAAGGGGGTATAAACATCAGATGAACTTGTGTTTCTATATGTAAAGGTCAGTTACATAAAGGGAACTTAGACACTGACTAATTGTGCTAGACACATATAGAATATTACAGACGTATTGCTGAGTATTTATACTAGACCCATGATCACTCAGTACAGTTGCAACTTTCTGGTCAGTATCCAACTGCCTTTACTGCCCAGAACATTTCCTGTACTTATTTCTAGCTGGATCAACCTGGGAACCTAGATCAATCGAATAAGTTGTCTTCAATGTTGATTGGAACTCAAGTCCAATGTACTGCCAGGTAAACCTCCTAGCCACTGAACTATCTTGTCTCTCCTTGCCTCAAATGCACAATATCAAATGTGTACCAATAGTCATAATACTAGAATGGATGTTAGACTAATAATAGAATGTGAGTAGTCAACTGAAAACATAATAAAACTGCACTTTTGTCTCTCATCTCCTTATGCAGTTGAGGAAAAATCGTTTGTGATCTTCATTTACAAAGATGGTGAAGGAGCATGCCAACCTGGCCAGCCATTTCAGGTTGGAACATCCACGGACACTGGTGTCAACAATGTGTTCTTTGACACAAAAACAGTCAACCTGGCAAATACGAGAGGAAACACTGGTATGTATAACATGATTTCAAGCACCTGGACCCAGAAAGAAACACATACACATTCACAAAAACATTGACATTCACACACACATATAAATGCACACATGTGTGCGTGCATGTGTGCACAGACACAGCCACACACACACCGACACACACTTTTTGGAATCACCGAGTAAGAAAATCTAAGCTTTTAAAAATAGCATAAATGTTACAGAAAATTTCTCATAATAACATTAATGAAACATAGAAAAAAAAACCAAAATATTTCAACATTACAAAATATCTGAATATCAAAGAAGGCTGGTTCATAAACATCATCATGTTTCAGAAACTGAATTTTTTTGGTCTACATTAAATGTCATTGTTTTTTGGGGGGGGGGGGGGGGGGGGGGGGGGGGGTGGGGGGGGCTTGACCAACATTGTCACAAGATTGACCAACATTGTCACAAGATTGACCAACATTGTCACAAGATTGACCAACATAGTCAGAAGAAATTGATCACATCCTGGGCTTTATTTAAAATACATGAGGCTAGGGAATAGCACAGAGTTTTTGACTGCCATGGACTGTGAATGAGAATGTTCAGCAAAGATTAGAACCTGCTACAAAGTGACACCTACATAATACATGATGACACATGCAGATGACAGTCCTCCTTTTAAACAATCTTAAGAGAATAGAACATTTAATCATGTTTGTCCAAAAAACACAGTAATGATCGAAACCTGTTCTTGAAATTAACCCCTTCGCTTCTATGGATTTATATATACGTCTGCCCGGTAGACTGCTAAAGACGTATGAATACGTCTTCCATTGTCTGTGCCGTCACTGCTTACGGGGTATTAATATGTCTTCGACTTACAGATTGCTGAAAACTGTAATTCTCGGGGGGTGAAACGGTAATACACATTACCTAAATCTGATTAAATTGACCCATTTAAAAACAATTAAAACCCTTATTACGTACATTTAGGTGTATTAAGATGCATTCGACACTATCCTGTTGCTTTGTTAACATAGAAGTGAAGTGAACGGTGCATTTTTTGCCCTGAAATATATTTTTGGTTTTACATTAGTCTACTCTTTTTTTTCTTTAACAAAAAAAATATTAAATAGCAAGAAAATTATGTAATTAGAGTTTATGAAGAATTAATAGTTTCTTTGGAGGAGTAATGGTAAGGATCACTTTGAAATATGTGAGTTATAAGTTGGGGTTTCTTCCCAACACGCAGGCGGACATGTGTACTTCTGACCGTCAGCAAGACTGACCATCTGACCCAGCCATCCCGAATGATCTTAAGAATATATAAATCACATACTGACATGATGAATGAAATTAATGTTTCTTGTATATACAGCAGACATGAATGTGTCTGCCTATCGAAGTGTGCAATACTGGTACTATTTTCAGTTTAAAATTTCATATGAATTTATAGTGTATATGGTATATGACTTACAATTGGAAAAACCTGTGTTCAACCCCTGAGTGATTTCTTTTTTTTTTTTTTTTTTTTTTTTTTAAAAATGTAAATTTAAAATTTCAGCTTTTAGCAGTTTCTGCAACGCATCACCTAAGTATTAAATTTTTTTTTTTTTAAAGTTATAAAGTGGAGAATACAATTAATAAGGACTAAAGCGGTAGATTTATGGATCAGATTGGTGAAGGGGTTTGGGGGGAGGTAAATTATAATTATAATTCACGAGTCACAGCTTGGGTGAAGTGCAAGGATTCTCCTAGACAAGTTCTTCCGTAAACCCACCCCCCCACCCTTTCCCTGGTAGTGGTGATGGGGCCTTTATAGGTCAATTTGTGGGGCCATAGAAAGGGCCAAGATGCACTCGGGTAATGACTAAATGGTATCGGTTGAGACGACTATGAAGTAAAAGCAGGAAGAATAAAATTTGTCTTGCATTATCCACCTGCAATAAATGTAAAGCGGTTGAAACATTCAAAGTATGTTCCTGCTGATGATTGGAAGGCTAATGTCGTGTTCCCTCCACCATGGAGTTTCTACTACACATGTGGTAGCAGTGGAGACAAAGATAGATTTTCTTTCACTATCCCGATCGAAGCCAGACAAATAAGTTTAGTTTCTAGTGTATCTTTTCTTAAAATGTCTTTCTTGGTGTTGACATAGTGCATCTCATTTGGCAGCACTAGAGCCATCTCCCACTTACCTAGGGTAAATATTTGTGCCTCTTTGAAAATAAAGTTTGTTTGTTCATTCGTTTGTTCATATGTTCTTTGTATATAGAATGCATTTTTTTTCAGGTGAGATGGGACTCATGGCCTTTGAAACCGGCAGTACTTTAAGTGCAAGTCAAATGTGCCAGAGGTTTCTGTGTAAACATTCTGATCTTCTATCAAACCGAAACTTTCAAGCTGAAATGGATGAACTATACAAATGTCCATGCACGCTTGATCGGCTGGGTTTGCAGTGGGAGCTGGTCAAAGAAGACAAGGAGACACAATGTTATGCAATCAGTGCAGTAGCCAAGAAAAGACTGTTACAGACCAACCAGAGAAACAGGGTAATTTTTTTTTATTTTTAACATTGACAGTTTTCTTTTCTGTGAAGATAAGACCTACAAGTTAAACAGAGACACCTTAATCAATTTAGGGGCTGAGTGGTCTAGAGGCATAGCATCTGCCTCGTGTGCTGGAGATCCTGGGTTCATGCCCCACTTAAGGCTGGTATTTTTCATGTGGACTTCTAGTAATTTCCTCTGGTCTCTGAGTAGTAAGATTGGACGCCTGTGTGATTTGTGGGGTACATAAAAAAATCTCTTTGCAGTTGGAAATCATAAAGAGTAGCCTAACGGCGCTGCTCAGCCAAAATTTGGTATTAAAAATTGTCCCAAAATATTTTAGGATCCTTGCGAGTAAAATGGAGTTTGTGCACTGCGCTGAGATTCTTTGGATTTAGGATTGAGTCTGAAGTTGAACGAAGCACTAATGGGTAACTACCCTTGTGCCATAATTTTGCTCCGTTATTAAACCTTTAAACCTAAATCAACCAGGTACTGTCACCACACTGAGGATTGACTGTGATCCAACTTTCTCTGCCTCTTTTCCTGGTGTTATATTCCCTGAGACTGCCCAGTGTCCATCTCTTAATATCGTCCTTCTGTTTGTAGAGAACCATTTGACTTTTTGTTGCTGTTTTCACAATACATCCACTGCTATCTTTAGGCATGTTCTCTAATGAGGCTCTCATCTCTTATATCACTATCCACAAGCCATAAGCATGGTCTTATTCTATGCCAAATAGAGACTGAGCCCTGGTACTTCCGAATTATGAAGATTGCTTAACATTTCTTGGATGACCTAAATAAGTAATGTCAACTTTTGGACAGAGGCTTAGACATTTGGACTATACATACCAAACACCAGAAAGAGGCAGTCATCATTTAATTTTAAAAAGTTTTTAAAGACAGAACATGTTGTGACAACTGGACAGATTTATGACAAAGAGATAGAGGCAGACAATGAGAGTAGATTATTGACAGCCTTTTGTCATGTCATGGAGAGGTCTCAACACATAAACTAACACACTGTATTGGAGACAGCAGGTTGTCGAGCGGCATGATTGCCAGTTATCCAGACACTTGAAGATAAGGATTATTCTTCAATGCCACTGGTTTTTTTTAACCAACTACCATCATTATCTCTCTGTCTTGCTATGTATCTCTCTCTCTCTCTCTCTCTCTCTCTCTCTCTCTCTCTCTCTCTCTCTCTCTCTCTCTCTCTCTCTCTCTCTCTCTCTCTCTCTCTCTCTCTCTCGCTCGCTCTCACTCGCTCTCTCTTTCTCTCTCTGCCACTACAGACTTCACTGAACATCATGACATTATCTAGTGCCTCATGTTTCATCACCAACGACCCAAAAATATTGTTTATTTCTTATAAATAGTAAGTAAAGTAAAAGTAAAGATCCCTTTTCACACCTTAGGCGCATCGGGTATATGGGAAGAGCGTCCCATATTTTTACAGACCAATCGGCACTGGATGGGTAATGTGGTCATCATTACACCGGCTGTCTTTACTTCCCCAGGACAGCCATCCTGGTACCAATTTTAGGCTGGGTCAACCTGCGATGCCCCATACCATGGTAAAAATCCATGCAGCCACCAGTGGGTTTCGATCGCGGTACTTTAGATTACGAGTCAGACGCCGCTTCTTATAAATAGTGCTCTACTTTAATTCACTTTTCATATAATTATTGGTGGTTGCTTTATTCCTTTTCAGCTGTGTTGCTACTCACGGGAAACTCCAAAGAGCAACAGCTGGAAAGACTGGTTTCAATCTTGGCAGGCTGGCTCCTTCACTGGAACTGGGCAGTTGCTCATTAGTGACCCCTGGAAATTGTCGTCCTCATTCAGCAACCCAAGGGCTTATGAAGATGCTCAGGAAAACATGCAAGCTCGCACCTGGTGCTGTGGGAAATCCCCATTTAAGTTCTGCCAGAGATTTTACACAATCTTTGGGGACCTTCAGTGCACACCATATCCAAGCTTTGTTCCTGGTAATGGCATGGTTGTCTGCTATGGTTGTCTGAGCTGGTGTCTGTAAAAGCATGTGTGTGTATGGGTGCATGTACGAACATGCATTTGTGTAGGTGTGTGTGCAGCTGTTCGTGTGTGTAGGTGTGGGTAGGTGCTTTCATGTGCACATTAGCTACACACACACACACACACACATACACACACACACACACACAGAGAATCAAACTTGTGTGCAGGCTTGATAAATTTGTGCCAGGTAAGGAGTGGGTCAAAGTGTCCGAGCAAGTTTCAGACTTGTGTAGGGTTCTTATCACTTTGGATCAGGAGTTTAGGGACTGGCCAGCTGGCACTGCAGAATCTGAAGTTCAACAAATGATTCATGACAATTCCCGCCCAAGTGATGTGATTATCTATACACATGGTTCTGTGTTGAGGGGCAAATGAAGTGCATAGGGGTTCATAGCAAAAGCAAATGGACGTCACATAGTGCAACAAAGCCTGGCATTTGATATCACGTTTAGTTTGAGAATGGAGGTGGAGGCAGTCACTGCCGCCTTCTGCTGGCTTGAAAATCAGCTGTACACACATTCCATGATTGTAACTGACTCACAGAGCATGTTGAGAAAGGTCGAGACAGGTATGGTCCGTGCAGAGTGGCAAGCATCATTTCAGAGGTCCCGAGTATTTAGCATCCTTTGGATATTCTCTGCAGGTCATGCCGGTGTGCTGGGAAATGAGCAGGCAGATAAACTGGCAGGTTCTGAACCTCTTGGTGGTGAAATGATGTATGACAAGCTAAATGTTGTGAGGGCCCTCTGGAAACAAGTGAACAGTGCGGAAGCACAAATAGATCATTACGGTCTGAGGAGAATGGCACAGTGAGGGGTTACCGGGGGATCTGGCCGATGTTTAACACTCAAGGGAAGGGCGAGACGGATATCCAATCAGACTGTTACTGATACTATCAGAATTGGAACTCTTCGTTTGCTGCTGAAGATGGGGATGAAGCGCTTATGTTGGTGTCCCGAGTGCTATGATGTCGATTCTCAATTCAACATTCAACACACACACACATATATATATGATGTTAGACCTTACAAAAAGTGAAATGGTTTGCCCACTTAGAGAGAATGCCCTGTGACACCATACCATACAAAGCATTCATGGAAAGAGAAGAAGAAGGACGTAGAGCACGGGGTAGACCAAGAACAATATGGAAGGATAACATCAGAGAAACTCTACAACAGCACGATGTGCCTATGGTCGAGGCTGCCAGAAGAGCTAGAAACAAAACCTTATATCTCCCTCGACACCCACAGCGGTAAAAGAGGAAGTGAAGAAGAAGAAGACCTTACAATATTTGGACATCTACTGATGCTGTTACTAGATCTTTTGTTGCGGCATGTTAGTGTCACGGCATGTTACTGACAGGTTATTCAGCACAAATACAAAAGAGGACAAAAGATGAAAGAACTCTCTAAAAGACAAGTGACTGCAAGCATAATCTTTAATCCTTTTGCCGAGCAAATGGTTAAAAAAAAAAAATTGCCATGAACCTATGCCTATGGAAATTTCCGGAACAAATTCTTTAAAAAATAATATGCATATTACACAGACCACCAAAAAAAAAAATTGTTTTAAATGTATCTCCATTATGAACTTTTTCCTCTTGAAATCGTAAGAAGATATTTAAATGAGTAATGAATGAATACAGGGTGGAATATTACATGGAATACATTCCCTAGACCTTACAAATCAGTATGTATTGGGTGACTAATGTTGTGACCTATGATCTGCATTACTGAGGCTTACAGAAAAATTTGACATCAGCTTGGCTTTGAAGCCTTCTAAGTCATAATGATACCCACCCCCCCCCCCCCCCCCCCCCCCCCCCCATTTTTAGTTACTATATTTATATCCTGGCCTACTGAAGCTTGCTAATGCAAACGAATGACATATGACTAATTGAATTTAACTAATCATTTTTTACATCAGATCACTGTAGACATAGCCATATACTGGCATTAACAAGACTTGTGACAAAACCAAAAGTGACCAGATTTAGGCTTTCTAAGGGTGACAGGGTTAACATCTGTCAAGTATAAATGATATTGTTACCTTACTGATAGAGCAGTGTTTGAATCCAGTATTCCTATAACTTGCAGCTGTGTTTTGTTGCCTGTTGTGTGCACAATATCAAATCATTACGTCTTTATGGTGCAGAAATACTTGTCGAGGTGGGGGGGGTACAAGGGAAAGAGAAATTGGAGAAAGATATAATCAAAATGGGAAGAATAAGGAATGAAGTGTATGTGGTGCACCAGTTTAGAAGGCTTGGAATGAGCTGCTTGAGGACCTAGGCTCCATCGACAGATAAAATGCAAAAGAAGATTGGGTCCACTAATATCTATTTTCTTCTCCTCTATTTGTGTCAATCATTACCAAAGGGGGGAAAAAAACCTAGTTTGCATACAAATGAGTCAGATCTGTAAAACGGATGCACATGCAACACTCAGGTTCTGGAACAGGACTGCAGTCCAGAAGTGAATGAACAACCAGAACTTTCCACCAGAGTTTACAGCTGGTGAACATAAAGAAGAAGTGCCTGTATTTACCACTTTTTGTAGGGATCTGCAGGGCTGAGGATTTAGGGCTCCATGACTTGTGCAGTTGCCATGAACTGGCCTGGTGAGCATGTTTATTTTTCACCTAACAAAATACCCAGTCACCTGTAGTTAGTATTCAAACCTGTCTCCCATATGGGAGCCCAGCATTCAAGCCACCGGACTAGCCAATTCTCATTAATGTTAATTAATTTGGGAATGTTACTGTGAGGATGTTATGCTTATTTTGCTATTTGTCATAATAATGGTAATTTTCTTGACACAGTCATGAAAAAGCTATATGTTGTGGGTGCCGGTTTCATTGAATGTAACACAAAAGTTGATTTCTATTGATTGCCACACAATAGCATCCGCCCTGGGTGACCCTACCATAGTGACCCTGGACAATTTCAGTTATCTAATGAATGGTTGGGGAGAGTATATTCTGATGGATGTTCAGAGCGAGGAGTTTACCCTTCAGGTAGGACACATTCCTGTTTTGTTTACCCTTCAGGTAGGACACATTCCTGTTTTGTTTACCCTTCAGGTAGGACACATTCCTGTTTTGTTTACCCTTCAGGTAGGACACATTCCTGTTTTGTTTATCTCTTCTTACATTGACAATCAGATTATTTATCTTTTGTTACGATTTTATTTTGTACATCTTTGTGTGTGTTTCACCAACTTGTTATATATTTATTACTCCTTGCTGTGTGTTTATCATCCTTGTTATGTGTTATATAATGTTTTGTTATGTGTTTATTATCTCTTGTTATGTTCTGAATCTCTAAAAAGATACCCGATCCAATGCAGCTGCTTTTGCTTTTGATATTAATGAACAGTTCCAGAATAGAGAGAAAACAGTAGTGGCTGTACGTGATCTTGAGGATGCCTACAATAGAGTCAGATATAATATTTTGATGTCTGCTCGCATGGAGAGAGGAATTTGTCACTGGCTGATGAGCTTGATAGCAGCTATCCTACATTCATCTATGGTTGCCCTTTGCCTGGATACATGGACCGAGATCATGTAATATTGCCCCAGGACTATCACACAGCTCTGCAGTTTTACCAGTACTCTTCAATGTGTATATATGAGCAAGTTTCAGAACTAGAAGCATCATGTATTGGTAGGACATTGACATTTGCAGATGATTTTTTTTTTGGCGTATTGGCAAGGGAACAATGGGCAACAGGCAGCTCAGATCTGGCCGACACTCCATACTTAGAGAAAAGGCAAGATAGATATACAATCTGACTGATGCTGGAACCTTCAGAATTAGAATTATTTCTGGCTGCTGAAGATGAGGATGTAGTGCTTATGGCAATGTCCTGAATGCTGTGATATCAGTTTTTGAAACTTACCTAAACTCAAACATTACCACCCGCCAATTGTCAATTGATTTATGCTAATCCTCCTTTACCTATTTACTAATCTTATTTCAGGTATTGTCATCAGAAACTGAAGAAGTAGGGTTTTGCATCTATTAGATCACTTAAAAGGTTAAAGTGGAGAGAATAAACTTCATTGCACCGGGTTTGATCCCATATAGCTGGGTCTCTCGCCGCAAAATGGCTAGCTCCCTGCCGAGAGCGCTGTGCAGACTACAAACTCCTTAGCTCCAGTGACGATCCCCAGGGATCTCTGTAAAAATTGCACTCATGAACTAAAGGATGCTGCTGTGAAATGAACCCACAGCATTCAGAGCGTAAGGCAAATGGCTTGACCACTTCACCATGGAGACCCCCTAGGTCATTTCATTATAGGTTGAGGTAATCAATTAAGTTGGCCTCCAAGCTATCTATAATAGGATGGCCATTGGTCATCAGGAGGAGATTAAACCTAGAATACTTCTTTTTTTCCCTCTCTACTCCTATATACTTACTTCTTTGTTTCTCTACTCCTGGATACTTATTTCTTCTTTGTTTCTCTACTCCTAGAATGCTTTTGCAGCATCAGGGCTGGAAGCAGTTTTTGGAACAGGCTATTCATTTCACTTCTTATATAATACTTTTCAATGTCTCCAGTATAACTACAGTTCATATTTTGCGTGGTCAACCTCTGGAACTCTGGCTCTGTTCCCACTGTATCTGTGTAATATCACTCTCTGTGGTGCCCTGTCTGTTATCAGTCTTGTTACATGGCCAAACCATTTGATCAATTGTTCATCAATAAAGTTCAATGCTAGTTCTGTATTGACTCTCCTCCTGATTTCACCATTTCAAAGTTGATTTTTACTCATTACACCCAGCACAGCATAGTATGTAAACATTTCATTTCTGTCATGAATATTTAATATTTCTTTTTTTTTTAAAGACAGTATCCATGTTTGACATTGATAGCAAGCATTGGTAATAAAATTATGTTGAAAAGTCTCTTTTGGTTTTCATATTCACATGCTTGCATTTTAAAATTGGTACTATTTGGCCTGAAACTTGATTAGCTTTCTTACATCTTTATGGTAAATCTGCTAATTCTTCCATTTTCTGACCCAAAAAATTCTTTTTTAGATATGTAAAGTCCTTCACCTGCTTTACCTGATGTTCATCAATTTTGATATTGGTAGTTCTCATTTTCTGGAGAATACTATCACTTATGTTGTGTCTAAGCTAATGTTTACATCAGAGTTGTTGCATGCTATTAATAGTTGTACTTGTGTTAGTGCTGTGATTGCCTGGTCACCTAGAATACTCAATTGATTAAACTGTGATTCTTTTATGTGATGGGGGCTGAGTGGTCTCAAGGTATGGTGTCCGCCTCAAGTGCTTGAGGTCCCGGATCTAGGCAATGGTGAAAGTAAAGATTTTTTCAAGTGGACTTCTATTAATTCCCCCCTGGTCTCTGGGTAGTAAGATCAGACGGCTGTATGTACTGTTCCGCATGTAAAAAGTCCTTTGGCAGTTGGAAATGGAAAAGAGTGCCTCACTGTACTGCCCGAGCGAAATTTGGAGTTTTAAAACTACCCAAAGTATTTCAGGAACCTCACCAGTGCTATGGAGTTCATGTCCTGCGCTGAGATTGTTTGGACTCAGGCTTGAGTTAAAAGTAAAATGGAGCACATGGGTTACTTCTACCCTTGTGCCATGATGTTGATCCCTTGTATAAACCAGTCTATTGTGTGATATAAGTTAGCTGCACACAGTGTTGGATATGTTTATTATCATCAGCTTTGCTTGCCATATGGAGGAACATACTAAATTTGTTGAAATCAGTTGATTCCAGTTGTATCATTGTTCAAACTCTCTATTTGTGCATCTAAATGGTATTCCTTAAAGTTTACCAGATATATTTGACAGATCTTTTTAGGTGTAGCATCTGTGTTGATAGTTGTGCTGCATTATTACGAGGAAACCCAAACCATTTGATCATCTGCTTGTCAACGAATTTAGTGTTGTTCTCAGTCTGTAGAATAGTATAATTTCTCACTTTCATGTAAATAATCTTCAGGTTGGTAGGTTTCAAGCATCTCGCAATTGTTTGTTTCATGTAGGTGAGCCTTTGTTTTTGTCCAAGTTTGGCATGACTGTGTTAAACCATGTGTTATCAAACAGGCTCGCACACAGAGGATAGAGATCAATGGGACATTATCCAATGGAACTGTGTTCTCAGCTTTTGCTGCTCAAGAGAAAGACGATGCCAGGTTTCAAGTAGAGCTGTCACAGACGAACACAAGTATGTTAGTTAATTAGTGAATTAGTTGACAGATGATCCTCTCTGCACATCAGCCCATTGTAAAACACAAGTACTTGACCAGTAGCACAAATACTATAGTAGCAATTTAATCAATGATATCCTGTTCAAATCTTCTTGGTTATAAGTGACATATATAGAGATGTTGTCATATTTGTTGGGGGGGGGGGGGGGTTTGAACCAGTTTGTGACCACTGGAAAGCATTGTGGAAAACAAAATTTAAAGGAGGAGGACAACATGAGAAGGTATTTGACAGCTTTTTATCATGGCATGGAGGGGTATCAGCACATAAGCTGATACATATTGTTGGAGTAGTAGCAGTCATTTTTCAACAATATCCTGTTGAACCCTCAGGGGTTATATTTTAGATATGTAGTGTTTATTGATTTCCCAGTGAATGTTTGTTATTTGATATTTATGTATGGCATAATTATCAAAAAACCAATATGTAATTTGTATTGTTTCACTTAGTGCTTTGATTTGGGTTATCATTATGATAGACACTGTACTATGAATAATTAGACAATCTTATTAACACTGTGTCATTAACATGTTGGATTTATTATTACTTTTTTGAAATAGTTGATATTTTTTGGAGATCACATGTAATGGAGAGGTATGATCACCTGCCTCTCCAGTGGGCAAAGGCACTTGCTGATGATGGTTTTTAGGAAGCAGTCAGTCTATTCCTTTCTATCCAAATTTCTTCTTATTAAAAAGAAGAAATAAAGCTCCAGATTGTTTTTTGGTCAGTGTTTAAGTATAGTACAGGACATTGCTAATGCCTAAACATAAGTATCCCAAAAACCTAGAGTAGAATCATACAAGATCAGCTTAGCTTACTCCACAGTTTATCTGTGGATCCAGCTTCCACAGCCAGTTATCTGTGGATCCAGCTTCCACAGCCAGTTATCTGTGGATCCAGCTTCCACGGCCAGTTATCTGTGGATCCAGCTTCCACAGCCAGTTATCTGTGGATCCAGCTTCCACAGCCAGTTATCTGTGGATCCAGCTTCTACAGCCAGTTATCTGTGGATCCAGCTTCCACAGCCAGTTATCTGTGGATCCAGCTTCCACAGCAAGTTATCTGTGGATCCAGCTTCTACAGCCAGTTATCTGTGGATCCAGCTTCTACAGCCAGTTATCTGTGGATCCAGCTTCTACAGCCAGTTATCTGTGGATCCAGCTTCCACAGCCAGTTATCTGTGGATCTAGCTTCCACAGCCAGTTATCTGTGGATCTAGCTTCCACAGCCAGTTATCTGTGGATCCAGCTTCCACAGCCAGTTATCTGTGAAACCAGCTTCTACAGCCAGTTATCTGTGGATCCAGCTTCTACAGCCAGTTATCTGTGGATCCAGCTTCTACAGCCAGTTATCTATGGAACCAGCTTCCGCAACCCACTTATATCTGTAACCAACTTCCACAACCAGTTAACAATATTTATAACCCTATACATACAAACAGAGAATTTTTGATAAGTATCTGCGCTATCCTTTGACTAACGGTCGGCAAAGATGGCGGCCGCAAAATATCCAGTCGAGCCACAGTCACGTGTCATGTGTTGTAAACAGTCAAAAATTTAAGTGGAAACTAATAAGGAATGAAAACTAAAAAGGAGCGACAAAAATGGTATATCAAATCGTCTACTTACTGACTGGCTGGCTGGCTTTTTACCCCACCAGGACATCACACAAGCGATAAACACCCGATGACACAAAGTGCCACCATGCGGATGAGGATCACCGTGGAGAGGTCCCAGAAACCGCGTTCAGACATTTGGCCATAATGATGACCTGCCTATATTGCGGCCCCTGGCAAAAGCCAGAGTGGGGCTTCAAATAACAAAAAATAACGTCCTAAGAAGGACGTAAGGAATAAATTTACTTACTGATAATTGTGTGCCTTTATATCTGGAAATTATGGCACAGACGTACTAAATAGTGCTAAAAAATCTGCTGTTTGTGGCTGTTACACCATTGAAACTCTGCTAAGTACGATCGGAACAAGGAGGGGCTCGTACCGCATTGGTAACGCACGTTTCTTTTTAGTAGCATCCACAGACCGGCTATCCTCCGAATAACAGGCACAAAAGATGCCTCACAGGGCCTCACTCACGTGTCAGTTGCGAACTTCCAGCAACTTAATTTGCGGTTTTCCGGTGACTACTGCCACCGCCGAGAGTAGCCCCCACGCCGCTCACGCGGCGTGGATTGGGGCTAAACTAGATGGCTAGGACTCACCAGCAAAGCTGCATGAGATGCGGAAGCTGCTGCTCGTGGGTCCCAGCCATCTAGTTTAGCCCCATCCGCGCTGCGTGTAGCGGCACGGGGGAGTCTCTCAGCGGTGAGTTTAACTCGGCGGTATGTTCCGTTTCACATCTTTGCCAACCGTTAGCCGGAGGATGGCCAGTATCTGAATACAGATGACATACCTTCTTAAAAGATTATAATATTTAAACAGCATCATGTATTTCACCTAGACTTTTTACACATACTATATTTAGTATTATTATTGTTTAAAAATGTATGCATGATTAAAACAAATCTCAGAGTTTGCATTAAGCCCTAGTGGATGTTGTTGATGAAGTTTACTATTATTACTACTAATACAACTACTATTATCATTTTCTCCTTAGTGATATATGAAAGGGGTGAGCCCAAAAAGGTAGAACGTAAAACAGATTTGCATGCCAAATTCTGAACTCTTTGAAAATAAAGTTTGTTCATTCATTTGTTTGTTAATTCCTTGAAAATGGGGTCCTGGAACCCACACAGACAGTGTTATTATTTAACTATTACCTGTTTGTAATTTAAAGAGTTAACATATTTTCTGTATTTACAGCAATGGCCATTTTAGTAAATGGAATGGATTTCACCAATAGATTCTACGATGATCCAAGATTTGGGTGGTCAACAGAAGACATCAGTGTTGTCAAGAGAACTGAGAGTGGCAAGGTCATAGTTGCAGCAACATTTCCATGTGGTTAGTCATCATTTCTTTGTTTGACACAATTAGTTTTAGACAATACATCAGTGTTTTCAAGAGATATGATAGTAACAATGCCATTGTTGCAGCAACATTCCCATTCATATGATAGTAACAATGCCATTGTTGCAGCAACATTCCCATTCATATGATAGTAACAATGCCATTGTTGCAGCAACATTCCCATTCATATGATAGTAACAATGCCACTGTTGCAGCAAGATTCCCATTCATATGATAGTAACAAGGTCATAGTTGCAGCAACATTCCCATTCATATGATAGTAACAAGACCATTGTTGCAGCAACATTCCCATTCATATGATAGTAACAATGCCATTGTTGCAGCAACATTCCCATTCATATGATAGTAACAATGCCATTGTTGCAGCAACATTCCCATTCATATGATAGTAGCAAAGCCATTGTTGCAGCAACATTCCCATTCATATGATAGTAACAAGACCATTGTTGCAGCAAGATTCCCATGAAGCTAGTCATCATTTCTTTGACACAATTTGTGTTATCACTCTTCTGAGAGACCTAAGTTCAAATCATTGGCAATATGATGGATTTTCGTCTGTCAGAAGCCAACAAAACCACACAAATAATCATAATCTGCACAGTTCATGATGACTGCGCATGTGGTCTCAAATCCTCAGACTCCAGATACCCTTGTCCTGCACCGTCCTGAAGGTGGTAAATACCAACAATAAAGACTTGAGCTTTAAAGGCAGCATTTGATAAAAATAGAGACTATTCTGTGCAGTCTTCCTTATCAATTGAAACAAGAATTCTCAAGAGATATATTAATTCTATCCTAATATGTGGAAGTGAAACTTGGACTCTCGGACGATTAGTAAAAATATTAGAAAATGGCATTGATATAGTTTTATTGACAAATGATGAGAATATCCTGGAGAGATAAAAAGAGTAATGAAGACGTCTTGAAAGAAACTGACTCATAAAGAGAACTGTTTGCTCACAGCTAAAGATGACAATCTATATTCTTTAGGCATGTCCTGAGGAGGAGAAAACTGAGGTACATCATGATAGTTGGAAAGTTGGAGGGGAAAAAAGGTAAAGAGGTAGAGGAGACCAAGAGAGAAGATGCTGGACAGTTTGACATTATAGTGAGGAAGATCATTTGTCTCAAAACTGACAGTACATGAAACAAAAGTTTATGGATATAAATTATTACCAAAGCCACATGTCATAGACAATAAGAAGAAAACCTGTTTTTACTAAACATCAGTCATGCTGAAAAAACAAAAATAGAGGCATCTGAGATGTTATGTTACTGAAAAATAACAAGAACCAGCTGACACATGATGACACATGAACTAGTTTTGGAGAATAATTTACAGTAAGAAAAATATCCTCAATTAATGGGAAGCAAAGATTTTAAATTAATAAAAATGATTGCGTTAAATAATGATTTAAAGAGTATGGGGGTGCACATGACTGAAGAATACACCTAATGAATAATGTCCTTCGCTTGACCCATATAAAATTTTCCTCTTTTTAGCCTGCTGCCATTTTCTTGTCTTCTTCATTTTATTATACAGCAGGTGTCATGTGTCTGCGTTTACTCCTGAAGAGGCTTGTCCTTGTCCATGTGTCACCGGTGACACTGCACCCTACCAGACATGTCGTAAGAGGCGACTAAGGGTAGGGTTGGGCTTGAGGTTGGCTACCTCATCCCGTAAAAACCATAGCCACAAAAGCCAACCAACCATGGATAAGTCAAAAAGAGAAGCAAGTAAAACTCAGCCAAACAAGATGAGGGGAGGCTCTTCAAATAGAAAAAGTATGACACGGTGTGGAGAAAGCCGTAAGGAGTCTAGATCGTTGACATACTTCCTCTCAGCTAGAAAAACCTCCAGAATTGGCACCTGGAATGTTAGAACTCTCTATGATATAGGGAGAACAATGGAAGTAACAAGGGAAATGAAACATTATAGAATTAATATTTTAGGGTTATGTGAAACTAGATGGACTTGGGCGGGGAAAAGTATTCTAAATTCAGGGGAAACTATTTTGTTCTTAGGACACACAGAGGAAAATTCGCCCTACAGAGAAGGAGTGACCTTGATGCTATCGGAAGAAGCAGACAGGGCACTAATAGAATGGGAAGCTGTGAGTCCCAGAATAATAAGAGCATCTTTTAGAACAGCGAAAAAGAAGGAGAACATGTCGGTAATACAGTGTTACGCACCAACAAATGATAAAGATGCATCTGTTAAGGAAGAATTTCACATGAAAGAAAGGGCAATTAAAAAATTTTAATGGGTGACTTGAATGCTAAGATAGAATCAGACAACACAGGTTATGAAGAAATTATGGGGAGACATGGTCTAGGAGTAATGAATGAAAATGGAGAATTGTTCACAAATTTTTGTGCAGGAAACCAGTATGTTATTGGTGGAAGTATTTTCTCCCATAAAAGAATACACAAGGCAACATGGGAATCACCAGACCATAAGACAACTAATCAAATTGACCACCTATGTATTAACAAAAAGTTTAGATCATCCCTTTACGATGTTAGGGCTTTCAGAGGTGCCGATGTATTTACTGACCTGGTGGTAAATAAAATCAAGTTGAAACTAAAAAGATATATAACATCTTATAATCATAGAAACCAATATAATGTAGGTTATCTCAGGGATAAAAAAGTTAAGGAACAGTTTTCAGTTACAGTCTCTAATAAGTACCAGGTGTTGTAGCAGTTAGCTAAAGATGCCAGCACAGAAGTCTGCTGGGATCAGATCAAAGGAATCTAGAATGAATCTTGCGTAGAAGTTCTTGGCAAGAAAGAATGGAAACATAAAGTGTGGATAACACCAGAAACCATTAAACTGATTGAAGATAGGTCCAGAGGCTCCCTCCCCCCCCCCCCCCCCCCCCCCCCCAGATATCCAGCCTTTAGAAATGGAACTGGATAACAACTGTGAGATACCATCCAAAGAGGAAATTAGAAAAACTTTTAATCTTCTCAAGGAAGGAAAGGCGGCAGGTCCAAAGGGTATCCCAGCTGAAGCCATCAGGGCCAACATAAACACATCAACAGAATTGTTCATAGATTATTCAGTAAAGTCTGGGAGACCGAAGAAATACCAGCAGACTGGAGAGAAGGATATCTTGTGAAACTGCCCCAAAAAAAAAGGTGATCTACAGGAGTGTGAAAACTATAGAGGAATTATGTTGCTGTCAGTTCCTGGAAAAATATTAAGTATAATTATTTTGGAAAGATTAAAAGATGCTATTGATAAAAAGCTAAGAGATGAACAGGGAGATTTTCGTTCAAACAGATCCTGTACTGACCAGATAGCCACATTACGTATTATAATAGAGCAAAGCATTGAACTGAACTCACCACTTTACATTGAAAAAGCATTTGACAACATTGATAGGGAATCTCTCTGGAAATTAATGGGGCACTATGGAATCCCACATAAAATTATTAACTTAGTAAAGGCACCATATAAAGACATGAAATGTGGAGTTCTTCATGAGGGAAAGCTAGCAGATACATTTGAAATAAAAACAGGTGTGCGACAGGTATGTCTTTTGTGGCCTCTCTTGATTTTACTGGCTAAAGACTGGATTATGACTGCTAACACCAAGAATGGAATTCAGTGGACCCCTACAAAACAGCTTGATAATCTGGATTTCGCTGATGATATTTCTCTTCTGTCCCATTCATGGAATCAGATGCAAGATAAATTAAATATACTTAATGCGAGATCACAGCAGCTTGGTCTGAAAATCCATAAAGGAAAGACAAAGATAATGAGAATAAATCAGGCAAATAGTAATGTGGTTTCTCTTAATGGCACCCCACTCCAAGACATGGAGTCGTACACCTATTTAGGCAGTAATGTAGATAAAGATGGAGGAACTGATAGAGATATTAAAATAAGAATACAAAAGGCAAGAGGAGCTTTCATAGCCCTAGGGAATTTGTGGAGGTCAACAGAAATTAAAAGAAATACTAAACTAAAACAAAAAATTTTTTTATTCACATGTTAAATTAGTACTTTTGAATGCGGTGGAAACATGGAGAACAACTAAGGCAATTACTAATAAATTACAGACATTCATTAACTAGTGCCTGCACAGAATGGAGGGAATTTAATAGTATGATAGAATAACTAATGTAGAGCTTTGGGAGAGAACTAAACAGGCTCCAGTGACCAAGAGGTGAGGAAAAGACACTGGCGTTGGATAGAACACACACTGAGAAAAGAGGAGAACAGCATAACTAGAATTTCTTTGCATTGGAACCCACAGGGGCATAGGAATAAAGGAAGGCCAAAAAACACATGGAGAAGAGAGCTGGAGAATGAAGTTAGAAAGATGGGGAGGACATGGGGAGAGCTCCATGCAATGGCGAAGGATAGGACGACTTGGCGTGAGTTGGCTGAGGGCCTATGCTTCATTGGGGGATAGAAAGGCAGAAGAAGAGAAGAGGCTTGTCCTATGAAAATGTGTATTCTGTCCTCCATGGAGAAGGTAGCGCATCGCCATACATGCTGTATCTCTCGTACACTCAAGTATAATGCACGTAGCCTCATTCTGTATTCTTTCCATACTTTCCAGCTGCTTATGACTGAGAGTCAGCATTGCCATCGCATACTAATAAACCGAAAGGACAAGAAACTGATATTAAAAATATTCAAAACAAAAAGACATAAATGACTTTGCCCACAATTTTCTGCAGCCATCATTCTCATCGCGGCCAAGAACAGCTTGGCATTTATTATCACCTGGTATGTGATCTCATTATAAGCCAGGCTATGACCAAATCCAATCCCCAGGTGTTTCCTGGACTGCGTTATTTCTACATTCTCTGAGCATAAACTTACAGTTGGTGCTGGGGCACTGACAATGTGGTTATCCAAAGAGAACCACATCATTGCTGTATTCGTTGGATTGACCAATGCACCAGCTCCCACCACACCAGGTGTTTATGAGGTTGAATTTTGTCTGTGGTTCTCCAGCAATCTGCTCTCTGTCTTTACCCTGATGATACACTAACTCATCATCAGCGTACGACAGTGACTTCCCCTGTCCTGTGAGCTGCTCACTTGTGATTCTCACTGTGTAGTTTGGATGTTCAACTTCCACAACTAAAAACTACTTCTCGTTGGAAGAGGGCTGCAGAGATCCAACTGAGAAGGAAGGGACTTATTTTGAGTTAATCCTCCTCTGTAGTTCTCTGGAGCTATCTATTCCCAGCATGTTTTTTATTGTCATAGGCTTATTGCAGCAGGACACATATTAATTAAGGAGAGTCATTTGGAGTTCTTCGTACTAGAAACAACATTGCAGATATAGATAATTTATTTCAAGGGAACGAAAGAAGAAGTCCTTTAATTCTCACAAATGCTGTCACTAACATAATTAATACCTAACATAATTCTGAATTTAGAAAATTTGTAGCCAAGAAGATCTCCTCTGTTGTGTCATCTCTACTACACATCTTGGTATTGTTAACTCTTTGAGTCCCAAGGAACGCATCATACGTTACTACCTAGAAGCCTAATGAACGCATGATGCGCTGATTTTACGTCTCTTTTGACTACCCCTTAGGCCTGTGATGCTAAACCCTCTGGGACTCAAAGAGTTAGGAGCCATGACCATAGATATGGAGTCTGTTAAAACAGTCAGCCTCTGTAGGAGATTGTCATATACTATTTTTGTGCATCTGTTTGTTTACTGCTTTCAGGTGTATCCATCAAAGTTCACGTGGGTGTGAACAGTCTTGAGATTGATTTAGAGGTCGATGTTTCACTCCGAAGTCAAACAAAAGGTCTTCTAGGCAACTTTAACGGAAATTCTCAAGATGATTTCTTGTTGCCAAATGGTACAGTGCTTTCTCCAGCCTTAATGGAGAGACAGATCTTGTCTGATTTTGCTTCACGCTGTAAGTGTTGACTGTTGTTAATAACTAATCTTAGTTCCATTACGGATTTAGTTTTAGTTAAACTTTTTAAGTAGCACAGTGGCTGTTAGGTAAATGTCAGTTTGTGGAAACATGAAAATAATGGTTGATATTGTGGGATCATTAAAAGTAAGTATGGTACAATGCTTACATCTGATACAGAGCAGAAAAAGCGATGGACAAAACACTTTTAAGAAATTGTGACAGAGCTAGTATAAAAACTATAGGTGATTGTAGTTACATGTGCCTATGCTTTACACTGAGCTTCATTCAGGAGTTATAGCACAGGAAGGAACAGAACACCCCCTCTCCCCCGTCATAGCCAGGGATGCAGAGTGTGCTGATAAAAGCCACTGAGAAAGGACAAACCAGTGTGTGTAGTAATTACTTGCTGAGATATTAATTCCCCAGCCAGACATATCTAGTTGAATTGTACGACGAAACACTCAGATACTATTCCAGCCCCTCAGCGGGACACTTGTGCAGGTACAAGACAAGATATAAATTACCAGACAATAAATTTCAATTTGCTCACAGACAGAAGAAAAAATATCTCCAGCAGACAAATTGTCTCCTGCCAGTGAAAAGATTTATGTGGCATAATTAAACTAATCACAGAAACAATGAGTTTTAACATTCTCCTTCTGTGAAATGGTTTACATAAACTTGATAGTTACCTATTGTTTAGTTGATTGCAATAAACAATAAGATTACATGTCAGCTTTTCGGGACATACATCAATTATAGAATCTCATTCAACACTGGAAATTAGGTTGATAAAAAAACCAAAAGCAACCAAGCAGTTTTAAAATAGGTGGGAGCCCGAAGACAACTAATCACAGACATCAGAAGGAGACAGTCATCATTTTTCGGCTATGTTATGAGAAGAGGTAAAATGGAACATGTTGTGACCACTGGATAAATCTGTGGAAGGAGGGATAGAGGAAGACAAGAGAAGATTCTTGACAGTCTTGCTGCATGGCATGGATGTGTGTCAGCACACAAACTAATACATGCTGCAGGAGATAGCGGATAGTGGAGAGGCATGATTGGCAAGGCACCTGATGATGATGATGATGATGAAAATATGGATTTACTAGGATAGAGGATCAACAACTCACAAATTTGTCTGAGTTTACATGGTGACGTTGCAGCAACGGAGAAACAGTTTAACGACTTGAGTCATAGAAGTGGAAGAAATTATTTCTCCTTTTTTAAGTCCTATTGGGCTGTTGTAGTAAAGCCCATGTAAAAGCTGCAGTAATTTTAGGCACCAAACATGTTGGTTGCCAGATTTTAGTAATTTCGAGTTATGATTGATAGTTGTGTTGCCTAGTGAACTCCTAAATGTATGTATTGACATTGCTTATATTAGACCTCATACTATATATGTGCAAATGTATTCTTGCTGTGCAAAACATAAAAGATAATATAACAAGAAAAATTGCTAAACAAATGCAAAGCATGATTTGCTGTTTGGTGTGTGATAGTTAGCACAAGATATACTCGGTCAATAGGACTGATCAACTATTTCAGAGGACTCGTGGCAATCAGCATGAAAGTTGAACCTGCTGTCATTCAAATACTGCCACAAAATCTTAAATAGACCTGGTCCACATAAACCAATGAATTTTGATGCAAGGCTTAAATGACCATATTACCAATAAATGTAGGACAGACAAATGGCATGGAAATCAGGGAGGCAGTCAATTCATTAGCAAACAATAAGGTGGCAGATGATGATGATATTACTGTAGAAACGCTCAAGGTAGCAGGTGATGTAACCATAACATGAGTGAGAAGTTTGTTTAATATCGAAAATGGGCTAAGGAAAAATCCTAGATCAGTTGAAGAAAGGAATAATTATGTATATATATATATATATATATATATATATATATATATATATATAAACGTAATCTTACTGATTGTAACAACTGGAGAGGAATTACTCTGTTATAAGTACTGTTGAAAACATTTTTGTAAAGTATACTGTCATAAAACATAAATGCATAGCTACTGAAAGGAACAAACATACTCACAATTTAGACATTCTGCATCTTTGTAATGCAATAATTATAATTACTAAAATTTCACACAAGAATACCTTAGGGTTCCACCAGTCAATAGACGTGTGTGTGTCTTTTTTGGTTTGTTTTTTGCATTTGGGTCACAATACTTTTTAGATGTGTGACCTACTCTTGCATGGATCAGTGACTGGCATCTCTTGAGCATGGATGCGATTATATGTCTGATGTGGGCCTGTGAGTTGGCTGCCCACTCTTCCTGAAGTGCCTGGAACAGATCACAACCATTGTCTGCAGACAGGGATAACCAGGGAAGGGTTTAAATGCTACTGGCAGCCAGGAACTGCATTGTCAACCTTGCAGAATAGGGTCTGGCGTTGTCCTGTTAAAAAGATATCTGTTGGATTCCCTCTGTTTTTTAGCAAACCACTGACTGGGTGATGAAAAAAATGTTGTGTTGGAAACATCAGTATTGACTGGATGGATAATCTACATGTGGAGGATCTCAGTTTTGCTGATGATATACAGCATCAAGGGTTGGACTACAGATAAGTTATGAAAAGACAAATATATTTAAGACACTAAAAACAGATCAAGCAGATGTAACACTAGAGACAAAAGTATATCAATTTACTTATTTAAGTAGTAATTCTGATAGTAAAGGAAATACAAAGAAAGAAATTATGACACACACTGACAAAGCAACAGCAGCTTTTAAAAGCTTGAACAGTATATGGAACTCTAATTTGTATAGTTTTAAAACTAAGTTACACATGTTCAATTCTAATATATTTCAGCTTTAACATATGCCAGTGAAAGTTGGAGAACCACTAGAGACTTGGAACAAAAGTTAAATGCATTTCAAAAAACTAAATTTTGAGGAAAATGATAGGAAAAAATGGGATGAATTCTAAAGGAGTGGAGAAATAAGAGAAATGTCTGGGGAGCCACTAGTATCAACAGTTATAAGACAAAGACGATAGCGCTACATTAGACACATACTGAGAAGAAACCAGCAGTTTATTGAGGCATACATATGACAGAAATACAGTCTCATTTTTTTAAATCAATGGAGAAGTGTGTAGCAACATCACAAAAAGTCAGTTCTGGAATTGGTTGAATCTAACTTCCTATATGTAAATTTTTGGTTGCAGACCTGGTGACCGAAGCCACATCAGTATTTATATACAACAAAAGGGAGAGCACTAAGAACTATCAGCATCCAGAGTTTCTCCCACAGTTTGTCGATGAAACTAATCCAAGTCTATTGGCAGATGCGAAGAAACTTTGTGGTGACAATAATAGAGCCTGCATATATGACTATATTGCTACAGGCAGCACTAATTTTGCACAAAACACTAAAGATGGAAAGGAAGCCAGCGACTTTAAAGCAAACAGTCACAGTAAGTATTTCATCATCAGCTTTTGGGGTTAGGGGGAAAGGGGGGGGGGGGGGCGGAGGTATACATTTTTAACAGAAATAAAAGAATAAATGCAGCCAACAGTCAGACACAATAATAACACTAAGAGATAACCCTCACAAACCACAGATTTAGGGAATATCCTAACTCTTTCAGGCCCATGAATTTTGACAAACTTGGCCCACAATAATTTCCCTTTACAAAAATGGTAGACAGGGTGGTGTACAAAAAAAGGCATTAGAGAATGTAATATACTTCTAATCCTTACAAAAGTGTGTATATTTTTAAAGAGAAATGAATGTACATTTTGAATAAATGATAAGTATATATGTTTAATACTGTTATAATTAGTAGGAAAAAATAATTCAGCAGGTATTAATTTCACAGAAACATAATTTTACAAAACAATTCATCACTAACCATCGTTTTGCATATCCAAATTTGAAAATAATACTTTAAAGTTTGTTCAATTTCATAATAAATTCAAAAGTTTTGATAAGTTTCCGGGGTTAGTTTAGCACTCCAGGGTTCTTAGTTCTCACAGAGTGCTGAGCAAAATTTTTTAAAGAAATAAATGTGCAGAAAAATAGGCCGTTACACACACACACACACACACACTATTTACCAACTACTTCTAAATCTAAATTTTCATTATCATTATCATAACTACAAACATCCGACTGAAACAATTTCTGAGTTGTTTTCTGAGAAAATGCATTTTGTGGGCTGTACTTATGGTTGGAACGTTGGTATCCATGGAACTTGAAAACTTAGATGAAACATTGTTCAACTCTTGCTATCTATGAATTGGATCAGTCTGCCCATGTTTTGGAACACAGAATGTTATTCACAGGAAAATGTTAGAGTAACCTTTCCTGAATACTTTAATGGTAGTTCTAAACATCAGAAACAAATATGGAGCTGAGTGCGAAGCAGTATGTACAGGACACACGATCGATGCTGACAGTGTTGTTTGGGCAAAACAGAACTTCTCACAGCGTTGCTTGGGCCTCAACAAGTTAAGCTGTAAATATCAAGATGTTATTTTCAAGAAATACAAAGAGGTTGGTGAACATGTTTCAGAATTATGGACCTACTCCAGTTTGATTCTCAAAGCATGCAGTTTAAAAGGAAAAAACAAAAATATATTCCTATCCCTTTTGAACAGTGGTGCAAGCATTGCACAGTAGGAGAGATGGAAGCTTCGCTGTATCATTATCTTAAAGACAGCGGTGGATGCCAATATTGATGGCACGGCAGTCAACCTTTGTCAAAAAGATGACAAACAACAACACACTCAAGATTAGAAGAGTTAGACGTGTTTATTAGAAACAGCAGCAATCAAAATAATAGTTATGTAATGAAAATGTCCACAGACAATACTGCACCCACAGTGTCAATCCGCAGCAACATCATGATCATTAACAACCGCTGGCTGGTGTACGAGGGTCAACAAAATTCTCTCACGGTAGAAGCATATGATAGTGATGGTGATGAAGTCACTTATGAGCTGACTAAGGATGTCGCTGAAGTCGTGCTGTACCAGAATGGAACTCTTGTCTACACATCACATCTTCAAGCCAAATTTAGTCTTGGGTAGGTTACCTGTTTGTCTTGTCACCTGTTTAGTATGCTGTTACCACAACGTACTTCATATGTTCTAATCTTTAGTCAGATTTCTAAAAATTCAGTAAAGAAGAGAGCATACTGAATTTGTGCAATTCTTTTTTTTCCTGTATAGATCCACATTTTTAATTCTTCTTTTTCATTTTAATTCTTTATTTTTCTAAATATCAGTTTCAGTGCACAGCTGAGACTTCTAACTGAGCACTTATTGATTTGCTTGGATGGCAGTAACCTTGTTTCTGTTTCCAGAAGAGTGGCAAGCATCTCTTCAGAGGTCCTGGTTAAATAGCGTCATTTGGATATTTTCTCCAGGTCATGCCAGTGTGATGGGAAATGAGCAGTCAGATAGACTATCCAGTTCTGCATCACTTGATTAGGCATGACAAACTAGATGTTGTGAGGGCCCTTTGGGAGCAAGTGAACAGTGTGGAATCACAAATAGATTACTATGGTCTTATGAGAATAGCACTGCAGAGGGTTACCAGTGCCCAACACTCAAGGGAAGGGCAAGACGGATATACAATCAGACAGTTACTCATAGCAGTGGTACTGGAACTCTTTGCTTGCTGCTGAAGATGGGGACAGAGCACTTATGGGAGTGTCCCAAGTGCTGTGATGTCGAATCCTAATTCATCATCATCAGGTGCCTTGCCGACTGGCATGGGCGATCATACCTTTCCATAATCTGCGATCTCCTGCAGCATGTATAAGTTTGTGTGCTGACACACCTCCATGCCATGCAACAAGACTGTCCATCTTCTCTTGTTGTCTTCCTCTATCCCTTTTTCTACAGATCTTTCCAGTGGTCACAACATGTTTTATTTTCCCTCTTCTCATAACATGCCCGAAAAATGATGACTGTCTCCTTCTGATGTCTGTGATAAGTTGTCTTCGGGCTCCCGCCTCTTTCAAAACTTCTTGGTTGCTTTTTTTTTTGGCTGTCCAAGGTATTCTAAGCATTCTTCTGTAAAACCACATCTCTGAGGCCTCTAAAAATTGTTTGGCCTGCCTACTGATTGTCTAGAATTCACATCCATATGTTAAAACTGGATGTATGTAGCAAGCAAGAATTCTTTTTCTAACTCTCAATGACAAGGATATATCGCACATATATTTTTGCTTGTCCAATTCTGTTTCTTATTTCAGTTATGCATCTTCCATCTGATGTTATCCATGTGCCCAGATACTTAAATTTCTGTACTTGTCCTAAAATAACACCATTGACTTTTATTACACATTTAGGAATAATTTGTTTCTTTGATACCACCATTACTTCTGCCTTCCCATTATTCAAACTGAGGCCCATTCTTCCACTTTCTAACACCACAATGATTCCTAATTAAACCTTCAAAATTTCCGCAGTCTTCACCACAATGGTGTAGTCAAGCTATTTGCCTGACATTCTGAAGGTTGTGGGTTTATGCCTGACATTCTGAAGGTTTTGGGTTTATCCCTGACATTCTGAAGGTTTTGGGTTTATCCCTGACATTCTGAAGGTTGAGGGTATATGCCTGACATTCTGAAGGTTGTGGGTTTATGCCTGATATTCTGAAGGTTTTGGCTTTATCCCTGACATTCTGAAGGTTGTGGGTTCATCCCTGACATTCTGAAGGTTTTGGCTTTATCCCTGACATTCTGAAGGTTGTGGGTTTATCCCTGACATTCTGAAGGTTGTAGGTTTATGTCTGACATTCTGAAGGTTGTGGGTTTATCCCTGACATTCTGAAGGTTGTAGGTTTATGTCTGACATTCTGAAGGTTGTGGGTTTATTCCTGACATTCTGAAGGTTGTGGGTTTATTCCTGATATTCTGAAGGTTGTGGGTTTATCCCTGACATTCTGAAGGTTGTAGGTTTATGTCTGACATTCTGAAGGTTGTGGGTTTATTCCTGACATTCTGAAGGTTGTGGGTTTATTCCTGATATTCTGAAGGTTGTGGGTTTATGCCTGACATTCTGAAGGTTGTGGGTTTATGTCTGACATTCTGAAGGTTGTGGGTTTATTCCTGACATTCTGAAGGTTGTGGGTTTATCCCTGACATTCTGAAGGTTGTGGGTTTATCCCTGACATTCTGAAGGTTGTGGGTTTATCCCTGACGTTCTGAAGGTTGTGGGTTTATTCCTGACATTCTGAAGGTTGTGGGTTTATCCCTGACATTCTGAAGGTTGTGGGTTTATGCCTGACATTCTGAAGGTTTTGGCTTTATCCCTGACATTCTGAAGGTTGTGGATTTATTCCAGACCTTTTAAAGGTTGTGGATTTTTTTTATAGGACTCATAATTTGGTTTGTAGCTACAGTTACTACAGAGATCTTTGGAGGTCATCAGTGGAGCTACAGAGTTCCTACTTTGTGTGATGCTCTTGGCAGTTGGCCAGCAATTCTGCAGAGATGGACCATTATATTGGATAGCCTGATGCACTGAAGTTGATATTCCTAATTTCAGCTTTATCTGTTTCTAAAAACCTTGCGTCCGATTCTAGTAAATAATAGTCATGCAAATCTTTTATTATTGCTGATATATTTGTAGAATTCGGGCTAGGGATTCTAAAGGTGCCTACTCCCCCATTGTGAGAATTGCCATAGCTGTGTGTCCAGTCTGTAGTCAACATGGGACCTGTAGCACCACCGACACTCAGGCTGAGTTCCTGGAGGGACAGTTTCAGATACTTAGCTGCAGCTGTTACCCTGCCTACACAGGTGAGATCACCGAAGTTTTAAATTGTAGGATCTTAAAAACTTTTAACTTTTAGGCGGCTATCCTCCGAATACCGCTCCCAAATTATCGAGGCCGAAAATATAACCTAACTGGGCCTCAGTCACATGTAAATTGCGGACTCTTTTCGGCGACTACACAGCATTCTGCGGAAAAGCTTCTGCTGAGTTAGTCACAGCTGAGAGTATCTAAACTAGATGGCTGGGACTTACGAGCAGCAGCTACCGCATCTCCTGCAGCTTCCTTCATTTTATTTGCTCGTGAGTCCCAGCCATCTAGTTTAGCCCTAGTCTGTGACAGGCTAAGCGGCGAGGAGATACTATCAGTGGTATGCTGTGTTGTCGCCGGAATGAGTCCGCAATTTTCATGTGACTGAGGCCCTGTAAGGGTATATTTTCGGCCTCAATAATTTGGGACTGTTATTTGGAGGATAGCCTTTCAGGCTACTACAAGCTACCTTAGGTGGCACAGATGGTAGACTTAAAAATCAACAAAACTTCATCAGACAACTGCCATAGCAATGTCTCTATCACTTACCTATTGCCCCTATTTCAGTAGGTTCAAATATCACTTTAGGCATGGTTTTAATATTGACTTTTTCTCCCAGTCTGAATGGATTGGTACCAGGAAGTGTTCTGGGAAACTGAGATGACTGACTTGATGTTGACCATTTCATGCATTGAGAACTGATTGGTCAAAGCAAGATATAAGACTGGGGCCATTCGCTCAGTGTTCCTCAAGATGTGGAAATGAGTCTTTTATATACAGGAAGTGACAGGCTTAGAAATTAGGAAATCAGAAAAATGAGAGTAGTAACTCTATGAATTGATTACATAGACAGAAAGAGAATAAGGTGGTTCAGTCTTGTAATGAGAATGGTACCGATTAAAATACTTCTCATACTTCTATACTTTTCATATGATACATAGATACCGGCCAGGTCAATACACTATGACATAAATTGCAGCTCCTTACATCAATAAATCAGGTGCCCTCTCCACAGTGAAGGTTGGCTGCAATGGATCTCCAACAACCCTGTCTCTTGTCCTGGTTGTACACTCTCTCAGACTGCTGCCTGTCTCTCTCTTGATGTTGTCCTCCCACTTGTACTGTTATCCATCTCTTGCTTGACCTTTCCCTCCAGTGTGGTTTTCAAAAGTGTGTTTAATGGGGCTATAGTAATTCAGTTGTCCCTTTTGCATTTTTTAAGTACTTATTTTTTCATTTGTAGTCTTTCCAGAACCTCTGTACTGAGCTCCCTACAACATCGTGTGGTAATGTCTGAGCCAGCACAGTAAAAACATAACAGTTGTTCTTCTGGCTCTACCAGGGAATGACAACATAAGACTCAGACAAAACTCAAGAAAATATAATTACAGAATTACTGATAACAAACAGTTAGGAGAGCAAGAGTTAAACCTGCTTCAACCACCATGCATATTGTTGAAATGATCAACTAGGGGCTGACTTATCATTGACTGACTGTTTTTGCAAAACATGCTCTGTGAATCTGTTGCAATTACACATGTGTCAGAGTGTACCACTCTCAGTGAACTGAAAGATGCCAAAAGTGACTCCACACCCCCTTCTAGTGATTGACTTATGTTGTAAAATGTATTATAAATATGCCTGAATATCTCCACAGTTGTATGATTTATACTCTCTATTATCTGAGTGTCATCTTATTCTTGTTTGTTTTGTTTTTGATATTACCAGGTGCCCAGTGTGAGTCTGAGCTGGATGCCTGTAAGTTATCTCCCTGCCTAGAGGGACAGAACTGCACTGACCTGACAGCCGCCGAGCAGGGAAACAACTCTTTGGGCTACATTTGTGGGCCTTGTCCTGCAGGAACTACAGATGTCGATGGGTCATGTGAAGGTCGGCTTTGTCTTAAATCTGTTTAAACTGTTGCCTAGCATGAAACTCATTCAAAAAATTCCCAGAATTCTCAGATACAGAATACTCAGTATGATTATCACATTGATTTAAAAGTTACACTTAAAATATAAAAAACTTAACAATTTGTACTCCTTCAAGCTGTTACAATAAATGCATAACTTTCGCAGCTTTAAATAATTAAGTAAATTTTAGTATTGAAACAGTAAGGATAAACTACATGTATCCTGTTGACCAAATTACTACTATTGCTGCTGCTGTTGCTGCTACTACTGCTGCTGCTACTACTGCTGCTGCTACTACTGCTAATACTACACATAATCATTCTAATTACACTCACCTCCGCCTCTGTTTAACCTCTTTGAAATACAGTAGCAAAAGTAATTATGGCTATTAATAATGTAAATTACCAAAACATGTATTTACAAAATAAAACATTCTACCCATTCCAAAGATACTATTTATATTGTTACAGAATAACTTGTACTGAATTTCAGCATGAATAATTTATTTGTACACATTTTGAAACAAGTGTTTTAATAATATTACTCCCCGTGTGGGTTTCAGGGCCCTATTACAAGGAAAGCAAGAATAGACCCACTGCCTACCCAAAAGCATGTCGTAAGAGTCGACTAACTGGGAGTTTTCTTCGAACTCGGGGTGCATTTGCCTGAAAGGCAAGGAACCAGCAGTCTGCATAAAATGAGTCAGATCTATCAAATGGATGCACACACAACACTCAGGTTCTGGAACAGTACTGCAGTCCAGAAGTGGATGAACAACCAGAACTTTCCTCCAGAGTTTACAGCTAGTGAACGCAAAGAAGAAGAAGAAGAATATTTTACACTTGATAATTTAATTCATATATAGAGAAGTCATCCCCTTGTGGGATGCAATCTTTTGTTTTTTTAAGCCCCACCCTGGCTTTTGTTGGGCCCTGAATATAGCCGAGCTATGAATGTTGCGATAATGGCTGAAAGGGGTTTCTGGGACCTCTCTACAAGTGATCCTCATCCACATGGTGGCACTTCGTGCCACCGTATGTTTATGGCTTGTGTGATGTCCTGGTGGTTTACAAGCAATTTCATTTATATCAGAGGATATGTTTTTTAATAATTACATGATCTACAATAATTGAACAGAAGTATTCAAAATAATAATGTATTTTAATGGTTGTAACACAGTCTCCCTTTCTTTTTTTTTTTCTTTTTTTAATTATAGAATGCACAATAATTGCAGTGACATATTTGGTGGTTACTGTTGTTGTGAACTGTGAGGAACTAAAGTTAATTTGAAAATCACAAAAGCAGTATTGATGGCTACATTCCTGTAAAGACTAATTGCAATGATTTTACATCAACAAAGTAGATTAAACAATATTTGAACTGTTAAGTCAATACAACAACATAAACAGGTAGAAAATCTGGTGCCTCTATAAGTATTAAAAGAAGAATCATCATGAAAATAATGGCTTCTCACAATAGAAAAAAATATCATGTAGTAGGTCCTTTGCAGAATGTTGCTCTCATCATGGTTCGCCTGAAAGAAACTCAGTCTGTCACAAACTCTTGTATCTCATGCACTTTCATATCCAAGGAGTCACTTAATCCTGCATCCATCTTCATGTTTGTCAGCTGACCTCCATGGTTTAAAATGAGTTCAAGTGACCACAGCTTGGAGCTGAAAGAGTGAAAATATTATTGAAAGTGTCTAATGTCTGCACTTAAACATGGACAATACGGACTACAGCTTAAGGCTGAAAGAGTGAAAATGTTGAAGAAAGTGTCTAATGTCTGCACTAAAATAAAACATGGACAATAAGCAGACAAGCTGAGAAACATCTGAATACAGCCTGTGGTTTAAGATACACATGTGAACAATATCATGGATGAAAAATAAAACAAAGGTTATCATTCAAAGTGATAGCATTAGTTGATTAGAGAATTTAGATTTATTTGGGCATTTATGAATATAAATAAGCATAACAACTTACTGACAGCAAAATTGATAGGAAAAGAGAATAAGGGAGTAATACATCAATCATTGTCATGTTGTATACTGATAATCATAAGTGGTGATGGTACTCCATCTCACATAATCTGTTTCGCTCCATGGTCACTCCATTAAGGTATTTATATACCTTCCTCTTGCTTTTTCCCCCATTAAATTTATAGCACTATTTCTATCAACACAGTGACCTTAGTCTATTCAATTTGTTACAATTTACAAGACCGTATCTTTCTGCTACAGATATAAATGAATGCCTGGACAGCACAATATGTGAGCAAGATTGTCTGAACACGTACAGGTCATACAGGTGTTCCTGTTGGCCAGGGTTTAGAATCAGCCAGACAGCCAGCCAAGCTTGTATTGGTAATGGTGTTTTTCTTGTAAAGTGGACACAGATAGATATTATTATGTCTGAACTCGCTTTAAATTGTTAAAGTTTATATTTCTCAGCTGCAGAGAATCTCAGTGTTTTTATTCACATGATGATTAATGAGATGGGTTGTCTGTCAGTCAGGGTTTCAGCTGAAAGCAGACAGGTTTCCCCCCTTAATTCTTCTATTCCCCTACCAGTGAAAACCACACAAACAGGCCTATCATTGTCCCATGTGAAAAGTCAAACAGCAGTCCCAGTATAATCTAACAGCCTGCACATGCAATTAATGCAAAAGGTCATTGTCTAGAGGTCAAAACACCAACACAGAGTTCACCAGACTTGCAGTTAATGGTTGATAGAAGCATCCGTCCAGACAAACTGGCAGGTGAACTCATGCTGCCAGTTCTGACAGCTGCCCGCCATTTTGTAAATATGTAGTTCACAACACAAAACTATTAGGAACAATGATGACAAGCATTTTACATGAAATCTATAGCTCACTATATTGCACTCAACTCAGTAACAGGCGGATGAAACCATATTCTGCCTTGACCATATTTTTTGTCCCATCCAGTTTCATTCATGGGGTTGAAACCTTAAACTTCCACTAGATTACTGGGTAGAACAGGGAATGTGAGGCAGGCTTGAGTAAAAGAAGCTGAGAGACAGTGCCTTATATAGCATGTCATTGCTTTGTTAGCGCTCCAACCAATGTATGAGTGGGTCAACCCCAGAACCAAGAAGAATCATTACTCAAACAAGTGTACTGACCATGAGACCACCACAGCTCCTGAAGAGAGACAACACCATCAGTGTAATCCAAAACAAGTGTACTGACCATGAGACCACCACAGCTCCTGGAGAGACAACACCATCAGTGTAATCCAAAACAAGCGTACTGACCATGAGACCACCACAGCTCCTGGAGAGACAACACCATCAGTGTAATCCAAAACAAGTGTACTGACCATGAGACCACCACAGCTCCTGAAGAGAGAGAACACCATCAGTGTAAACCAACAACAAGTGTACTGACCATGAGACCACCACAGCTCCTGGAGAGAGACAACACCATCAGTGTAATCCAAAACAAGTGTACTGACCATGAGACCACCACAGCTCCTGGAGAGAGAACACCATCAGTGTAATCCAAAACAAGTGTACTGACCATGAGACCACCACAGCTCCTGGAGAGAGACAACACCATCAGTGTAATCCAAAACAAGTGTACTGACCATGAGACCACCACAGCTCCTGGAGAGAGAACACCATCAGTGTAATCCAAAACAAGTGTACTGACCATGAGACCACCACAGCTCCTGGAGAGAGAACACCATCAGTGTAATCCAAAACAAGTGTACTGACCATGAGACCACCACAGCTCCTGGAGAGAGACAACACCATCAGTGTAATCCAAAACAAGTGTACTGACCATGAGACCACCACAGCTCCTGGAGAGAGAACACCATCAGTGTAATCCAAAACAAGTGTACTGACCATGAGACCACCACAGCTCCTGGAGAGAGAGAACACCATCAGTGTAATCCAACAACAAGTGTACTGACCATGAGACCACCACAGCTCCTGGAGAGAGAGAACACCATCAGTGTAATCCAACAACAAGTGTACTGACCATGAGACCACCACAGCTCCTGGAGAGAGAGAACACCATCAGTGTAATCCAACAACAAGTGTACTGACCATGAGACCACCACAGCTCCTGGAGAGAGAACACCATCAGTGTAATCCAACAACAAGTGTACTGACCATGAGACCACCACAGCTCCTGGAGAGACAACACCATCAGTGTAATCCAAAACAAGTGTACTGACCATGAGACCACCACAGCTCCTGGAGAGAGACAACACCATCAGTGTAAACCAACAACAAGTGTACTGACCATGAGACCACCACAGCTCCTGGAGAGACAACACCATCAGTGTAATCCAAAACAAGTGTACTGACCATGAGACCACCACAGCTCCTGGAGAGAGACAACACCATCAGTGTAAACCAACAACATGTGTACTGACCATGAGACCACCACAGCTCCTGGAGAGACAACACTATCAGTGTAATCCAAAACAAGTGTACTGACCATGAGACCACCACAGCTCCTGGAGAGAGAACACCATCAGTGTAATCCAAAACAAGTGTACTGACCATGAGACCACCACAGCTCCTGGAGAGACAACACCATCAGTGTAATCCAACAACATGTGTACTGACCATGAGACCACCACAGCTCCTGAAGAGAGAGAACACCATCAGTGTAATCCAACAACAAGTGTACTGACCATGAGACCACCACAGCTCCTGGAGAGAGACAACACCATCAGTGTAAACCAACAACAAGTGTACTGACCATGAGACCACCACAGCTCCTGGAGAGACAACACCATCAGTGTAATCCAAAACAAGTGTACTGACCATGAGACCACCACAGCTCCTGGAGAGACAACACCATCAGTGTAATCCAACAACAAGTGTACTGACCATGAGACCACCACAGCTCCTGGAGAGACAACACCATCAGTGTAATCCAAAACAAGTGTACTGACCATGAGACCACCACAGCTCCTGGAGAGAGACAACACCATCAGTGTAAACCAACAACAAGTGTACTGACCATGAGACCACCACAGCTCCTGGAGAGACAACACCATCAGTGTAATCCAAAACAAGTGTACTGACCATGAGACCACCACAGCTCCTGGAGAGAGAACACCATCAGTGTAATCCAAAACAAGTGTACTGACCATGAGACCACCACAGCTCCTGGAGAGACAACACCATCAGTGTAATCCAACAACATGTGTACTGACCATGAGACCACCACAGCTCCTGAAGAGAGAGAACACCATCAGTGTAATCCAACAACAAGTGTACTGACCATGAGTCCACCACAGCTCCTGGAGAGAGACAACACCATCAGTGTAAACCAACAACAAGTGTACTGACCATGAGGTCACCACAGCTCCTGAAGAGAGAGAACACCATCAGTGTAATCCAACAACATGTGTACTGACCATGAGACCACCACAGCTCCTGGAGAGAGAACACCATCAGTGTAATCCAAAACAAGTGTACTGACCATGAGACCACCACAGCTCCTGGAGAGAGAACACCATCAGTGTAATCCAACAACAAGTGTACTGACCATGAGACCACCACAGCTCCTGGAGAGACAACACCATCAGTGTAATCCAACAACATGCCAGATGAAGCTATGGTAGAGTGAGGAGGACAGAAATGCAGTTTATTAAATTCTGTTATGCATCAATTCACCACCAAATGGTGCAGAACCAGCCAGTCTATCTGCACATTTGTTGTCCTAACACATGTACACCCTGAAGAAAATATTCAGAGGAAGCTTACTTCTAGGACCTCTGAAGTGATGCTTGCCACTCTGCACAGATCATATCTGCCTCCACTTTTCTCAGCGTGTGTTTGCAGCACTTTGAACCTAACTGTAATAGTCGGCAGTGCAAGTATATGTCACATATATATTACTGGTATGTCTCTTGTACATCAGAGGATTTCCATCATGGCTTCATTCTGTATAAGTTTCATCAGTTGAATCTTCAATACGGTAAACATTATGAGTCCATAATCTATCACCAAGAGGATAAAATGCTGGAATACTATTAACAGCTTTTGTGTGAGTGTGTGTGTGCCTTGTATTCATTACTGCTATAATTTTCATTGTATTAGGTCCTTTTGTTTTAACAGAACAGAAATTCAAGGTAAAGATGCATTTACTAAGTAAGATAATCTAAAGCTACTTTAAAAAAAAATAATGTTTTAGCTTTTTTGATATTTATGATGCCAGATATATTTTGGTAATGGAGAACTAACAATTGTAGGTAGCATGCTGTTATACATTTTGTCACATGCCTGTCTCATATAAAAGAATCAAGAAGAATATAAAATCTGTGCTTCTGAAAGAATGCAATTTCTTTCTGATTTCACTGTTATCAACTTGTAACCTTTGACCCCTCATTGATGTTTGTCAACTGTTCCGACAGACATTAATGAATGCGAAGAGAGAACCTCCAGCTGTACACAAGTTTGCATCAACACAGAGGGAAACTACACATGTTCATGTCAAGAGGGATACACACTTGGTTCTGATGGGAAATCATGCATCATTGGTGAGATATTTATAAGGCTTTATTTTTATTCCGTATTTAGACCCCAACCTCATAATCTAACATGATCTGCTATCATAATTTTACTCCATGTGATTTTTCATTTGAGTGAGAGATGCTTAAAGGTGTGGTATTCACCGCTAACTAAAAAAACAAAACAGAGAAAGCCAGATTTCAAATCATGTGAGGCCAGTATAATCAGGACATTTTCTTTCTTTCCTTTCTTTAGCCCAGGGGCTAGCTGCTAGCCTTCCTGACTAATGGTCATTGGATCTAATCCTAACTGAGGATTAATTTTATTAGTTGACCTGCGCTTTCCGGATCTTTCCATTCTTCTGCCCTGTATCCCTCATTGGAGCATAGGCTCTTGACTAACTTTTGCTATTGCACCCTATTCCCCCAATGTCCTCTCCATCTTAGTACTTCACTCGCTAGTTCCCTTCTCCACATGCTCTAATTATCTGTCTCAATCAGAACCAAGTACCAGGAATGATAATATGAAACTAAGCTTTGAAAAGAAAGAGACACAGTGATTGGCAGACATCCAGAAACCATATCAGTAAAAGTAAATGACAAGAAATAAAACAAACAAATGAATTAAAATATCTATGGTAAATGTTCACACGAGAAGAAAGAATGGATACAGAAATCAACACATGATATGCTAAAGCAAAACAGGTCCTGGGGCAACTAATACCACTTTCAAGGTAATAGCATATCACAGCAAATAAAAAAAATAAAAAATGGGGGGGGGGGGGGGGGGGAGAAAGGGGACAACTGAATGCTACTAGTGTCAAACATAGACCCTTACTAAAACTGCTGAGTTCAAAATCATAACAACAGAGAGGAGAAATCTTAGAAGAGCTGACAGAATACAAAGAGACAGTTAAAAGTGAAGACATTAGAAGAAGACTAAGACTGGAGAAAAAAAAATATAATCAACAGATGGGATGGTTTGGCCATCTGATGAGAATGCCCTGGTACTGACTGAAACAGAGAGTCATAAAAAGAAAAGTAAAGGACCCTTTTCAATGCCTTTGAGGTGTATTGGATATATAGGGCTAGACCTATATTTTATAGACCAAACGACATTTGGTGTGTGATGTGGTCAGCATCACGCTAGCCACCTTTACTTCCGACTGTACCTGGTAACCACTCAAGGCTTGGTCAACGTGGGAGTCAAAGTCATTTTTGAAAAAAAATCATGCCCTCATCAGGAACTAAACCCACGACCTTCCTATCAACAGCTGAGCCTCTAGCCGCTAGACCAGATCGACTAATAGTGAGTCATGCTGAAAAAACATCAAGGGACTCTGAGTAAGGGAAAGACCATGCAGAAGAAAGACAATGGTATCAAGAACAGCCTTAAAGAAATGAAGACCAGCTTATACAGCACACTCAACGGAGCACACACAAAATTTCGACATGTTCCCCAATACCTCAATGGAGTAACAAGAGGAAATGGAGAAGAAGAAGTTGGGAAGGAACAATTGACCCAAAAAAAAAAGTTGAGAACAAATGAGCAAGAATTTGAAAGTAATTCTAGTGGGAAAAGTTCTTCTTCTTCTTCGTTCACCGGCTGTGAATTCCGGCAGAAGGTCCCGGTTAATCGTCCGCTTGGACTTTTGGCTTTTACCTGGACCTGAGTTTTGCGTGTACAACCGTTTTGCTGTTCCCTGCCTCATCGGCAGCTGTACTCCGACTTCGAGGGAAGGAAAAAGTTCAAGACTCAAGAAGGTGAGGTGAGCAAATATTTGACTGTGAGAGTGAAACAAGTGGGAAAACACCTAGAGATAATAGCATGGATCCAGGACGAAAGACAGAGTGTTATACATCCATTGCAGCCAGTCTTTATTGTAGGGTCTGCACTGAATCGATCAATCTTTCTCCAGCCTTCCATGTTTTATTGCACTTCCACATTGTACTGACTTTTTTGTTTGTTTTTTTTGTATTGTTTTTTTTCTCCCCTTTAAGCCATTTAGAAATGATTATACAACTTATGAATTTTTAAAGTAATAGTTTTATGCAGAATTTATTTAGTAAAGAAAATGAGTTACTGACACATGAACTTATCTTCGTAAACCTTACTTATTCTTAATGACTTTACTGCTAGCTTATTTTAACTCTTTCAAATCCAGCAAGACAAGCTATTCGCTTGGCACTTAACCCTTGAGTCCTAATCATCAAATCATGTGTTCTCTGAATTTTTGGACATTTATCAAGATTCTAAATAAATATATCTTCCATAATAGCTATTTCTATTGTGTAATTAACATCTTTGAAGGCAATGCTTTCATCATTTTTGCTAATGCCCTTTTTCCCCAATTGGTTTTTTGCTGTAAAATTTACTGGTAGTGAAAGAGTTTACAAATTCCTGCTGCTGTGTTCCAGATGCCAACATGTCATCAGTGTGTGGACAGTGTGAGCAGGTGTGCTCAGTGACCAGTGGTCAAGTGTCTTGTAGCTGCAACATTGGCTATCAGATCAGTGACAGTGACCCTCACAAATGTGTTGGTAAGTGTCAGTATGTGCCAGTAAGCAAAATGTGTGTATCTTTTTCTGAAGGCATCAGTTTTACTTTTGTAAGTAAATTTTGTTACAGATTAAAAAATTATAAAGAATAATCTGCTGGATAAATCTAAAAATATAAAATCACTTAGCACTATTATCAAGTCTCTACCCTAAATCTACCATTGAAAATGACGATGAACTGAATATTGTTTGTAGATTAGGAAAGTCTGTGGCTTAGGTGCTGCAAACTATTTTCTTAATGCCAGGGTGCCAGTCATAATCCCCTGTGTTGGTTTCAACAGTGGTATGGAGAAGCCGTCCGTCCAGAAAGCAATGGCAAACTACTGGACGTAAATTTGCCTAAAAAACGACAACAGCAAAAAAATGCTGGGGTTGGTTCTACAACGTCCTGTTAAGAATACGCAACCTTTATTAATTTATAGATCAAGAAAACGCTTTTTTTAGAGTAGATCGAAACAAACTATGGGCTATTCTTGAGAATTATGGGATTCAAGGACAACTGCTAGATAACATCGTAACCATGTACAACACTTCCCAAAGTGCAGTGAGAACACAAGAAGGCATGTCTGATATGTTTACAATCAATACAGGGGTGAGACAGGGATGCATGCTATTCAAGTTATACATAGAGTATCTAAAGAAGCCAGTTTTAAAGCAGTCAACCCAGAAAATCCAGAAAATGAACTTTACTTTCTAGAGGAAGAATTAGATCACAAACAATAAATGAGCTACTATTTGCAGACAAGAAGTGCCTGTTCTACAACAAGGGGAATAGACTGCAAGAACATTTGAACAGGCTAAGTTCAACATGCAGAATATATACATGAAAATAAATACTAATAAAACTGAAGTAATGTAGGTCAGCGGAATTCCTAGTCCGCTGCATCAAAGGGTTGAATGTTACTTATCTGAAGCATGTTCAAGAATTTAAATATCTAGGAAGTATGTTTTCGGAGGAAGGAAGAATAGATTGGGAAATGGAAACAAGATGCCAAAGAGCCAGTGCACTTATATACCAACTGATACTGTTATTAGGACATCCAAACATAAATATGAGCGCCAAGTAACAAATTATAAAGAGCATATTCATACCAACACTGTGCTACCAGTGCCAGACTTAGACATTATCAAAGGCCAACCTTTGTAAAATTAACACCTGTGAAATAAGATGCCCAAGAAAAGCTGCCAACTTGACCATCCGAGACAAAATTAGAAATGATATTATCAGACAGACTGTAGGGACAACATCATGCTACCAGTGCCAGACTTAAACATTATCAAAGGCCAACCTATGTAACATTAACACCTGTGAAATAAGATGCCTGAGAAAAGCTGCCAACTTGACCATCCGAGACAAAATTAGAAATGATATTATCAGACAGACTGTACGGACAACATCATGCATCCAGTGCCAGACTTAGACATTATCAAAGGCCAACCTATGTAAAATTAACACCTGTGAAATAAGATGCCCAAGAAAAGCTGCCAACTTGACCATCCGAGACAAAATTAGAAATGATATTATCAGACAGACTGTACGGACAACATCATGCTACCAGTGCCAGACTTAAACATTATCAAAGGCCAACCTATGTAAAATTAACACCTGTGAAATAAGATGCCCGAGAAAAGCTGCCAACTTAACCATCCGAGACAAAATTAGAAATGATATTATCAGACAGACTGTAGGGACAACATCATGCATCCAGTGCCAGACTTAAACATTATCAAAGGCCAACCTATGTAAAATTAACACCTGTGAAATAAGATGCCCGAGAAAAGCTGCCAACTTAACCATCTGAGACAAAATTAGAAATGATATTATCAGAAGACAGACTGTACGGACAACATCATGCATCCAGTGCCAGACTTAGACATTATCAAAGGCCAACCTATGTAAAATTAACACCTGGGAAATAAGATGCCCAAGAAAAGCTGCCAACTTGACCATCCGAGACAAAATTAGAAATGATATTATCAGACAGACTGTACGGACAACATCATGCTACCAGTGCCAGACTTAAACATTATCAAAGGCCAACCTATGTAAAATTAACACCTGTGAAATAAGATGCCCGAGAAAAGCTGCCAACTTAACCATCCGAGACAAAATTAGAAATGATATTATCAGACAGACTGTAGGGACAACATCATGCTACCAGTGCCAGACTTAAACATTATCAAAGGCCAACCTATGTAAAATTAACACCTGTGAAATAAGATGCCCGAGAAAAGCTGCCAACTTAACCATCCGAGACAAAATTAGAAATGATATTATCAGACAGACTGTAGGGACAACATCATGCTACCAGTGCCAGACTTAAACATTATCAAAGGCCAACCTATGTAAAATTAACACCTGTGAAATAAGATGCCCGAGAAAAGCTGCCAACTTGACCATCCGAGACAAAATTAGAAAGGATATTATCAGACAGACTGTAGGGACAACACCGTGCAGAAGATTAATTAAG